AGAGAGAGAGAGAGAGAGAGAGAGAGATGCACATATTATATACCCTCTCTGTAGGGGTTTGGGAGGTGTCATTGCTGGTGTCAATAATTTATCATCATAAGATATATAGCTAAATGTGATTTCTAGAGAGACAAAGAACAACATAAAAAAGCATTCAAAAAAGAAGGTTAGCTATGTAGAGCTAGCCATTTTATCCATGAACTATATTACAACTAAATCTACTTAGTGTGTCTCAAGAATGATGTCTTGATGTCATTATATATACAGCTCAAAATGTGTCTCATGGAAAACATTATAGAAAATTTTCCTGTTATGATGGCAAACAAAACTGATGTCATTATATATACTGGTTTAAACAGATAATTTGGTTACTTGTTCTTAGTATCCACAGCTTAATGCATTCTTCTCATCTCGCATGCAGCTCCAACTCCCTCACTTGGATCACCTTCTTCGTCTTCTTCTTCTTCTTCTGTGCCTACTGGAGCCCCATCTCCATCATCCCCGGGCAAGTCCAATGCAGCACTACAGCTTCCATCCTTGGGGTTCCTGATTGGAAGCATGGCAGTGAGTCTCTGGTTGCTCTGCGTGTCCCACGGACTGGAATTTTAGTGCCTCGTGTATCCTTCATTATCTTGCTCTTTATGTTGATTCTGAGTTGTACAACTTTTATGCTCAATAAAAGATTTAGCTGGTTGAGTGATTGGAGTGATCGGTAAGATGTGTTTGGCTTTTGCTGTTGACATGTGTGTTCTTCCTTTTCCTTCGTCTTCTTAAGCTGGCTTAAAAGAATCATCTCAATGGCCAATCTACGATGGACTTACAATGTAGCCTTTGACTTTTCGAGACAGATCGTGTCACGTCACATCACCTGTCCATTGGATGGTCACATTCTCACGAGAATTGACAGAACAAACTCCGTTGACCACCGAATAGTTGACTCGCGTCCCGCCTTCATTTACTCCTCGCCTTGGAAAATTGAAAAAGGGTATGGGTTCATTAATATAAGAAAATTAATATTCTTTTGCATTCATTCACGAGTGAGATTTCAAAAGTTCATTTGCATTTGCGAAGAGAAAAAGGAAAAATCTCAAATATCTTTAAACCAAACAAAAAAAAAGGAAAATGAATGCGTCGGAGTGGGGCTCGGCAGCATTTAGTGAGGAACAGTGGTTTGTGTCGAAGAAGAGGTGGGGGTGTGTGCGCGTGGGGAGTCGTCACGTCAGCGGACGCAGAGTTGGGGTGGGACAAGCAGCGCTGGATCCAAAGCAGCAGCCATTGAGGCCACTGCAGGGCTTTGAGACGCTTCAGAAGCTAGGCCACCACTGTCGCCACCTCGTGCTTCCCCCCGTGCCTGCCTCCTCTCTCTCTTCTCTCTCTCTCTCTCCAGCTTTTTGCAGATTCACGCCCATCCCTCGCATACAACTCCACTGGTGCGTGGTCATGTCTAGCAATGATAGAATGAGATCTCGTTTAATGTATTGATCGAAATTGATGTTTCCTTCCGAGGTCGATAAGTTCCATTCTACAAGAGTTGACGATGTAGAGAGTAAGTACCCTTCAAGATGGGTAGAAATCTTCGTTTCCGAATGAGAGTTGACGAAAACCAAATGATGGCACGCAGATGAACGATGATTGAATTGAAACAGTACCCTTCAACAGGCAGATTACCGTTAGTCAAAGAGGCTGGTCTACGGTGAAAGAACTGCATGGCCATGGGGAGAGACGAAGAAATTGTAGTAGATCGCGAGAGAGAGAGAGCGAGAGAAGAGGAGGGGGAGGGGGGAGGGAGAGGGATTGAATTGAATATGACGATTCATCGAAGACAAGCGGAAAAAGGCAAGACGGAGAAAGAAAGAAGAGAACGTACCTGATGTGTGCATTGCCTGAGCCCCACCTCTATCTCTTACTGAGAGCCCTCCTCATCAATGGCGGATTAAGACCTGAGCTTGCGGCATAAGTCAACCCTCTTATTGACTTATCATGACTTCTCAATTGTCTTCGATCACTGCAGCTTACGATGCGTTAAGAGTCGTGCTATTACATGTGAGGAAGGGAAATCCGGTCCATGGCCCGTATGATGCAACGTGTGGAAAGGCAAGACACGGTCACACGGAAGGTACGGTGTACGCACCCGGGCCTGTGTTGCCAGGCACACTGTTTGGTATAAAGCCACAGGAACACTGGATGGGCTACTGGTACGTCACAGGATTCCTTCTCCGTCCTCTCCCACCCCCTTCTCTCTCTCTCTCTCTCTCGCGCCAATCCTTCCCTTCATATCGCTCGGTCACTCGCCCTCTTCACCTTGTACCCGCTCTCTTCCTTCCTACAGTAAATATCTCACTATACCTTTACCCTGTTCAAAGAGGTAACTCACACTACCGAGCTCTAGTCGCAGTTGTGTTGTGTTGCTGTTGTTCTTGCTGTGTTGGGAAGATGGAGGTCAGGGGTGGAAGAGGGAGGAGGCTAAGCAGCAGGGAGACCAGCCCGGATCGAGCCAGACTGGGCTGCTCACAGCTGCAACACAAGCAGCAGCAGCAGCAGAGGTCCTTGAGGCCTCTGAGGAAAGTTCAGATAATATACTACCTCAGCTGGAATGGCCAGTTGGAGCACCCTCACTTCATCGAGCTCCCTTACCTCCCAAACCAACAGCTCCGCCTCAGAGGTCGCCTTCTCCCTCGCCCCACCCCCCGCCCCCGTCACCCCATCTTTCCCCCTGCCTTGACATCGTGTTCTTAATTTCTCTGTGACTTGTAGATGTGATAGAGAGGCTGACTCTTCTCAGAGGCAGAGGCATGCCTGCACTCTTCTCCTGGTCTTGTAAGAGGTAATCTCGATCGACTCCCGTTTGTTGCTGAGCCTTCTCTTCCTGCCATTTGTCAATCGGCTTGTTCATTTGTGAATCACGAAAAAGGAGCTATAAAAATGGGTACGTGTGGAATGACTTGGCCGAGAACGACGTTATCTTCCCGGCGGACGGCGTCGAGTACGTGCTGAAAGGCTCCGAGATCATCCCGGGCGCATATGGTTTCTTCCTACCCTCCTTTATCATGTTATCGGATGTTTCCGGTCGATTACTGGTTTATTTGGCTGTATTCATCTTGAAATTTGCGTTTCAGAGCGTTTCCAACACGTTGCTGCTCGCAGCAGGCGGCTGAAAGCGCTTCCTGCCCCCCGTAAACTCCACTTGGAATTAGAGGAAGACGAAGGGGAGGAAGGAGAACTGGGAGAGGATGAAGAGGGTGCAGAGGAGATTAGATGCGGTAAGCGCAACGTGGATGGCGCACGTCACTCTCGGCGTTCCTGCGGCGTTTCGACTGAGGAGATCGAGCGAACCGACAACCTGACCACGGTTCGGTCCCACCGCCACCACCACCATGGCCCCATGGAGCTGCCCCTGGACGACTCCTCCCCGCCCTCCTCCACCTCCTCCGACAAACCCCCCGCCCACGCCCCCGGCAGCGGCGCCTCCCAGAGGTTCGAGGATGCCGACCCGGCGCCGGAACCGGGTCTGACTCGGAACTCGGTCCTGCTCCAACTCATCGCCTGCGGGTCCGCGGCACTGAAGGGAAGCAGCCGCACCAGCGGCGGGACCATCAAGACAGCCACCGCCGCAGGTGGCGGGCAGAGGAACACCGGGCTCCACCGCGGGCTGGTGAGTCGACTCGCGAGCCGGGCGGCTGAGGAGGACGAGGTGGTTCGTTGCGTCCAGGAGAACCCTCGGTTCTGTCACCCCCTCATAGAGGACAAGGAGTACTTCAGCGGGAGCATAGTCGAAGGGAGCAGAGCACCACCTGAGCCTTCTCTCAAGAAGTCTTCCTCCTACAACGAAGAAAGGTGACACTCCCACCAACCCTATCTCGTTCGGAACATGTCAGCTTTTGGCCCTACTTTTCCTTCCATTCCTCTGGATGCACGAGTCCTCCATAAAGTCTACCCATTGACTCTATAAAGTCATGCAAGCTGACATTCTGGAGGCATTTATGAGGCCCACAGTGTCGCGTAATGTCAACTTCTGACAGCAAGACCATCATGATCTAGGAAAGCATCATCTTAATTATTCTATATATTCCTGTGATTTATTGTTGGTGTTGATGGTGACGGAAACAGGAGCTCAAAGCTTGGGATTGGAGAAGGCAAGAGAGAGGTGGATAGAGGAGGTGTGAAAGGGAAGTGTATCCCTGGCAGAAGGCAGGCCTCTGGTAAACAACAGTAGCAGCAGCTGCAGTACACAACATCGAAGGATCCCAACAAGTTAATGCTCTTCCAACTGTTGCACATAATTCATGTCTTCAAGAGGTCTTAATCCCCTACATGTGTGTGTGCAGTGCAACTGTACTTGCAGTGTGACCTTGAGTTGCAGAGATGAGAGGAACAGATGGCTCTACAACCTGCTGTGGAGTTAAAGCTCACAAGGGCTATATTTCTCTGGAATCTATGCCGGATTCTGTGTTCGACTAGTGTTTCTTTAAGTTAGTAGGTCTTAGGTTTTGTTGCTGCATTTGCTACTGTTACATCTGTCTCAGAAAATTACTTTCTAGTTCATGGTCTTGATAGAAAACAAGTGTCTCCAAGAAACAGTGAACCCATTACTACTTGTGCATGCAAATAGTTGGATTCCTGCTCTTGGAAGGTTCAGCAGTCTCTCTTTCAGGCATTGGATGGTTGTGTATGCTTGATTGAAATTTTTGGTGGATTTGGCTACTCTGTTTATCTGGGTTTGAAATGGATATAACAATCTAGATAATCTAGTAAGTCACGAGGCACTCGAACAATACGCTCGAAATGAGCAAATCATATTTTGAAAGCATAAGATTTGCAGCTCATAGTCTCATAACTTGTAACTTCAAAATAATATGATAAGTCATTTTTTATTACACATAATTTATAAATTAACCATAAAGGAATTTAATTTTTATTTTATTTTAATAGGTTTCCATAAAATCAATTAATGTTGTGCAAAGATTTCATGTGTTACTTGGAGAACACACACACACACACACATAAATGTATATTCTTCCGTATCTTGGTTTATGTACACAAATCTAACCAGTCAACAAATCTTTGTTAAGCCATGAATAAAATATGGTCTGTCTAACTGAGTCTAACCGAAGATGGAGGGCATAAAGAATTCCCCAGTTTATTTCCTCCCATTTATGGATCTCCTGTTCGGTCTAATATGCTCTCTTTCCAATCATATGATTTACAAAGGAGGACATTTTTTTGATAAGACAAGCTGTATTTTTTAGAAGGATGAAGTCAAATTAACTTAGATCCACTTCGAACATATAAGTCATATATATTTGAAGATGACGATAGAGCCATCTTGAAGAATAATATCTGTTGATCTTAAGATATATTGGTTTTCGTTTGGAACAGAATCCTAATCAGATCCCTCGTAATCTTTGGAACAGACAATTTTGATCTTCCGAGATACCGACCCGTTTCTTTCTCCGTTCCCACCATCTTTTATCCCCCTACGTATCTCTCCTCCTATTGTCTGTCCCAACAATGTCGATCTCTCGTCCTCTTTGTCTGCTTCCTTCCTCATCCACCTCACTCCCCATGCCGACCTCTTGCGGATCTCTGCCATCCATGGAGGAAACGGGAGGAGATGGAAAGCTAAAGCTAAAGAGCCTCGATGGTGCATATGATCCCATCTGTGTGCTTACTGTTGCACCCGCCGAGTGTTCCTCCACCTGTCGCGGGCCAAGTTGGTCCTCTTGTCTTGCGCCTGCTCCGCAACATGAGCCGGATTTCGTTCCTGCTTACTCTCCGGTGAAGCCCGCCCGGCGGAACCCTAGCCCGGGACCCAAGAGACCCGAGAAGGGCAACGTCATAAACCCTCCCTTCGCCTGGGCCACCGACCGCCGCGCCACCATCCACACCCTCCGCCACTTGGTCTCCCGTGGCATCACGGAGATCCACGGCGAGTCGCAGTGCAAGCGGTGCGAGGCGCGCCGGGTGATCAGGTACGATTTGGTGGACAAGTTCGCCGCAGTCGCGGGCTTCTTCGGCGCCAACCAGCACCACATGCACGACCGAGCGCCGTCCAAGTGGATGCGCCCGACGTTCCCGGACTGCGAGGCCTGCGGGCAGCGCAACTGCGTGCGGCCGATCTTGTCCGAGAAGAAGCGCGAGATCAACTGGTTGTTCATGCTGCTAGGGCAGACGCTGGGCTACTGCACGCACAAGCAACTCAAGTACTTCTGCAAGTACAGCGCGAACCATCGCACCGGCGCCAAGAACCGGCTCGTCTATCTCACCTATCGCAGTCTCTGCAAGCAGCTCGATCCTACCTTGCGCTTTTGATCTCTTGATCGTTGTTGTAAGCAAGCTGCATTTCCATAAAAAGTGTTTAGTGTAGTATAGATAGACCAATCCTAGGTGCAGGTGATGCTCTGCATTGTCGGCATCCCGAATAACCTTATAGTCGATCTGCTCTCTAGCTAGTTGTTTCGATGTCCTGTCTTCTCACTACGAGACCCTCATATCTTGTATCTTCTTGTTTTGTTCTGTCGTTTGAAGTCTTGTGTTTTACTAGTTAGGACAATGCTTGATGGTGCAAATTTGGAAGCCTACTGACATATGCTACTGCAACATTCTTTCGTTGAAAGCTCGTATACTTGCCCTAAATGAATCAAAGAACATAATTAGCAAAGAACATAATTCTCTATAGGTTATGGAGAGTAGGATGGACTTCGAGTAAGGAACTGCAGTAAAGTCATGAACTCACCCCCAGTTTGTAATGTCAACATTTGATGTCAGCCTCCGTTCCGAGCAGCAGATGCTCAAACTACTAAGAAGCTTTAACGTTTTGACTTGAATTCACCATTTATGCATGAAAATTTTCGATTAGATTTTGTTTTTTTTTTTTTGTGCGTGTGGATTACTTCGTATCTAAAGTCTCTAGTTAAATTATAGGAAAATATCTAATTTATCTATCATCTCTATCGATAAGGTTGTTGGATCACTGACCAATCCAAAAGCTTCTCGATAAGATCTTGCTTTCATGTCACTTATCACAAAAGCTTACTAAAATCCTTCCATTTGCTACTCTTCGGTCACCTGCGTTGCACGTGCATTTAAGAAATAACTTAAAAGTAATAAAAATATGGATTTATCTCGTTCGGCCAACTGACTCGACCGTTCCGGCTTACTCGGACCGATCGGGTCCCGCGGGCGGCCCACAGATACGGCGAATACCACGTTATCCGTCGCACGCACACGCGTCGCGCTTCCCTTGCGCGGGGTGTCCACCAGCGCACTCGGTACGAGCCACGCGTACCGCCTTGCGGGCCCCACTAAAGCCATGAGAGTTATGGAAAGAGAAGTCCAAAAGGGTGGGTGACGGCCCCGACGTACCGAACCGTGGGTCCACGAGTCTCCGAAAAGGTACCGACAGCTGGCGGGATCCTATCCGAGCTAGGTCACCCCCCGGTGTCAATCATCCGATGACCGCACCGTCTTTGGGTTGTCACTCACACGGCAGTGATGCATCTGAGATACTGTTACCGTCCCGTAGACTTAATTGAGGAGGAAGTTCTTCTCGTTGTTGTCGATCAATTCATTTGGATGATAAGGAAGACAAGAGCGAGGGAGGAAATATAAGTAAAAAGAGCTTTATATTTAATTATTTCGATATAAAATTACGCCAATTATATTTCGTCATATTTGGACTCAACTTTATCTCGTTTTATAGCAAGCGGTGACCGTATCCAGGCGGGCCCCAAATTTAAGGCGAAGTTTTCGTGGTGTCGTCACCGGCAAAAGACGGTGCCGACGGTGGGGCCCACGGCGTCGAGACCCTTCCCCGACGTTCGCGCGGGCCCACGACCGGCTTTGATTTGCGTGATAAGACGGTTTTCGCCCGTCGCACCTCTCTCCGTTTTCTGCCTCGCTCTCGAGTCTTCGACACTTCGTTTGCTGCGCTCGGTTCCCTTCTCCTCTTACATTTTGGAAGATTCGTGGTGCAAGAATCCGCGCAACTCCGCTTTTCTACTTCGAAGGTTCGATTTCGCTTCTTTCCGCTACGCCAAGTTCGATTCTTGTCGTCCTGGGAGGTAATTTCACTGTTGTTGATTCGATCTTTCCTTTTTCTTGCCATGGTACGGATGGATTCCGAGCATTTCTTATTTTTTAGGCTTGTTCTTAGAGGATTGAAATTGTTTTATGCGCGCAAAATCGCTGTCCACACAACGTTCGACTCGATACTTCCGCTGGGTTTTCGTGGTCTTCGTTCATCGAAGGGGTTAGCGTTTTTATGATCGCTGGGTTTTATTATAGTTCTTATGAAGAAATATTCTGTTTGTTGTGTTCTTTTTGCCCGTCGTTTTTTAATAGTATCTCCATGCGATCGGTAAGTATTTTTTTCGTTCTCGTAGGGTTTTTTTAAAAACCTAAATAAGATTTACATGCTCTTTAATTTCTTATAGTTAAAGTTGATTGTGTTTCTCTGAGAAATTTCCTAAAGAATTTTGATGTTCTAAAGCTTCGTTTTTTCTTTTGTTGACAAGATGCCGATGACGTACACTTTTATTTTTCTACTCGTTTATTGGAATTTTTATTAATTGATTTTAAAATCTATGTTAACTTCCTTTGTTTGTTTGGTCAGTGAGTTGATTTTTATATAAATCTATTTTTAGCAATGATTTCAACAATAGCGGTTTAGGGTTTACATTCTCAGTTAATTTGTGTGGTAATTATTTTATTTTTGATTCGGTAGCGTCATGGCCGAGTACTTCAACAACGATCTGGACGACATTGTTGAGGATTACTTTGAAACGGGTGATTTCGATTACTTCGACGATGAATTCGAGTTGGATGACCAACAGGCACACGGCAATGACTCTGAGCTCGAGAATGTCGACGATCTGGTATGACAATCCCAGGTCTCTGTTGTCAGAGAGGGACGTATAACTTTTTCTTCTTTGTTGTTACCGCTTGATGCTGATCCTTCAGGCGACGCAAAAAAATGATACTTCAGCCTCGGAGTATAGAAATGGGAAAGATATGCAGGGAATTCCATGGGAAAGATTGATATTTTCAAGGGATGAGTACCGCGCAACGAGGCTGAAGATGTACACGAACTATGAAAACGTATCAAGACCACGTGATGGTTTAGAAAAGGTGAGCTTAAAAATTGAGATATATACTAGTATTTCATGAACTTGTATAGTGATTGTGCTTTTGGTGGAATTTACCCTAGTTTAATTGCTTGGTAGATGAAACATTCCTTTAGGCTGTCTTTTGGTTTCTGTCCCTGTGCGGCCCCCCCAAACCCCCCCCACCCCCGAGTCATGGGGTTGTTTGATTTGCAGTAACTTCTATGTGATTAATTTTATTATGTCTTGCACACTTGAGTGTAGCACTTTGTATGATTCATGTTTTTTTGTTTTTTCTTAATCAAAACATTTCAGTACCACTCTGTTGAAATATAGGTGTGAATATATCACATTCGTGTGATTCGATTGATGAAATAGTTTGGGGTCCTCTAGCTTTTCCACTGTCACTGATTCTTAGGCATGTGACCACCTATTTTGCTGGAGAAAAAAGAGTGAGACTGTCTTTGTTGCACGTCTTTCATGTGGTTTGTTTAGGTGTTGTGATATTTTAATTGGACATTTAATTGGTACAACTTGGTTGCAGAACTATTGCTTGATTATCAACTTAATATCGAATATATTATATCGAATATATTAATTAGATAATGCAAGACTCTTATGTTGACTGTGCATGATCGAGCATGATTCGTTGGCTCAGCTTATCTGCATGTTGATGAATGCAGCATTTGTGACTAGTCTAGCAATCCTGGTTTCTTTATGATTTAGGTAAGTGTGGTGGTACTAGTAGCATCTCATTATATGAAAATAGAAGAAGTAATTTTGATGAGGGATGCTCCAACTTACCAAATTTGTATCCTCTCCAGGTCCCCCTTGCATTTTGGGGGTAATTGTGTTTGTTGAGGAGTGTTGGGTGCTGCTTTTGGTTAATCAATGTCTTAAAGTGGTCAATTGTAAAAACTCATGGCATACTACATAATGCTACCTAAAAATGTTATTCGTAACAATGTTGTTTTTTGGATGGAGCCTGTCATAGTCTCATGTAGTATTTATTTGATGATTTTTTTGCTAATAATTTTGGCTACATTCAGGAATGCAAGAACGTGGATCACGAAAACACTTTCTATGATTTTCACTATAATACAAGGCTTGTCAAGTCCACAATTGTGCATTTTCAGGTATTTTTTTTGAGGATTTTGTTATGTTTCTGTTTATTTGTTTGTAAAGTAACACATATTGCAAGCTTAAAGATTAAGAAGCATTGACAATTCACTTATCATCTCACTGAAATAACTGCAACACAAAGTTTCGCAAGTGTCCCGTTTTCTTCATTGTCCCATCATCCATTAGAAGCACAATTGAAGTGATTTATTTTGCTGATTATTTAGAATTAGTTTTATGAAACTAACATTATAAATTACTGAAGAATTGATGATGTTCAGTCACAAGTATTCATGTCGATTGTTTTTAATGGTAGGCCAATGGAGGTATCATTATGACTTGATCATCATGAGGATGATGACTTCATTACGATTAGGATTTATGTTTATTAAGATTGGTACTTCTGGATCTGCAAAGTATTTTTTTTGCCAACCTTGCTTGGGGTGTTTATATATTATTGTTGAGCCTTATAGTTTTGCAGGTTTTCACTGCATAATTATTAATAGGTATATGCAAATTATTTCGTCTAAATAGCTCTTTGACCTTAATGAAGCACCTCCATTGGAGCAGGCATCTTTATATATGTAGGAAAGGTAAGATATCTTTTTATTCTTCTGTTTGTCCAGGGACTTCTATATATGTTAGCTTTGTGAACCGTGAATTTCATAAGGCCTTTTAACTTTTTGTATTTCTTGCTGTGCAAATACTAATCCTGGTTCACATTCTTTTAACCTTATAATCTTGTGTATGAATGATGAATAACAAAAATCTTCCTAGCACTATTCATAGATTATGTTGCTTATCCATTACAGAGTCTGTTGGTATATTGTCAAGTGTCTAATTGTTTCGGACATATATTATGCTCTTTAGCAACTGTGAGAATCTGAAAATAGGATGCTATGATTTTGATGTCACTGCTTATAGAAATCTTTTGCAACCACTAGCTCTTTTACATTGCATTTTTTAAGTCAACCTTTCAGTTCGTTGATTCTTTTGTATTGATAAGTGTCAATACAACCTGGCTGGTTGCTTGCCCGTCAGACCCATCTCTACCGTTCCACTAGAATCCTTTGTTCTGCATAAGAAATCTTTTCAGCTTAATGTTATTATTTAAGTTTACTTCTCTTAAAAAAAAATTTCTTGACATATTTATTAGAGTGCCAAAGCTTATGGTGGATTATGTTCTTAGCTTAGGTGCTTATATACATGCAAAAAAAAAGTGCTGGTCACTAGGTTTTCACATGGCAACTTTAGCTTTTATGTATTGCACTATTTGGAATGTTGGTAGTGTTATCATCTTAATGTTGGTTATATGTTGCAATTAACACTCTGTTACTTAGGACTGGGCTGCCATATCACATGTTTTGTCAGGCTATAAAAAAGCAGGATGGATGTGATTTCTGAGCAGCTGTCGCTATAGGGGGGCATTTTTTCATATGGTATGATGGGACGTTCCGTGTTTGACAAATCATGCGCCCAGTGTTTGTTGGTGTGTATGGGAAATGGAGTCAAGCTAAAATATACCTGCAGCATTTTGCTAATCGTCATGAGATAGTTGATTTCCATACCTTATCTTCTCTTGCTATTTTGTTTGTAGATACTTTTAGATGTTTGTGTTGTCTGATATGTATTCAGTAACCATATCTTATCCTTTTTATATGTAGCATCATTAGCTGTCTGATGATCGGTTGTCTTGTTTATGTTTTGATTGACTTCACAATTATGGTTATCTATTATATCTCATGGTGCTTTTGAAGAGTCATGTCGTAATCATTTGCTGTAAGTTGGGAGTTTAACTTTTTCCTAGCATGCTCATGCTAGTAATTAACTTACTGATCATGGAGGCATAATGTGTCTTTTATTGAAAGAAAGACTAGGTTTCATTTATTTAGATGACCGAGTGTGATCTTCTTGTGCATAATTACTTGAAGAAGAATTTTGTTGTGAAAAAAAATAAAAATCATATTTTAGTTGCTTCCACTTTTCATTATTTTTGAGACAGGATATAATGATGACCATACTTTTTTATTAGTTGAATGTGCCAGTCTGGCCTAGTAGTAGTGATACTCCTCATTAATGCCGTATGATATTTCCTGTATAGATTATGTGGGCTGCACAAAACTAGATAGTTGCCCATGTACTTAGTACTTGTCAAATGAATTTAATTATTTAAGATCTAATTAGTTATCAGATGTTAGGTATTATGTTTACTCTGTCATAGTTGCACTTAGCAAAAACAGCTTTTTTACTGACAGCCAAAGATCATTTGAAAAGGAAAATCCATCAGTATTTTGTCATGTTACTGTTAAACAATGAGCATCCAAGCTGTGCACGTCTGTTATCATTTCTTGTCACCTGTGCAGGTCTGAACTTCTTGGTAGCAAAGATGACGTTTATCACGTGAGATGCATGTTGACATTTCTGTCATTAATCTACACAAGAAACAATCTTCATAGTTGTTGCCACAATACGTCTTGAGAGAATTGATGTGTACTTTCTTGGTGGATTGGGTTTCTAATACTCATCTTTTTTCTGGATATTGATAATCTGTAGCTGTCTCCTTTTACCTACTGAGGGAAAGCCTCTCCGTGGAAATGCTGACTTGAGTGCCTAGAACTACCAAGCCAGATAACCTTAGGGGTTTCCTTATTATCAAGTCATGACCTTTGATGTGTTGGTTTCCATGTGCTCCCTAAAGAGTTCCTGCTCATCCTTTTCTTGGATTTCCTTGTGTCCACTTACTCTTTAGGTACTGTTGCGACAAAAAACAATTGTGCCACATCATATATGTAAAATAAGATAATTAGTCATTTTCTTATTGTGTTACAAAGCTTTGAAATGATGTAAGATCTAAACACCACTAAAAATATTAAATATATGCTTTGTTTTAAATCGAATAATGTTACTGAACATTATGCAACTGTAGTTAATAGATGTTGGAAAAGAGTAGCAACCATAGGACTGCTTCTAGTATCAAATTTTTTGTTTCTTAGATTTGATGTTTATGATGTTGTTTGGCAGAGGATGATCTGACAAATATGTTATCTTTTATGTTGACATGAATAATGTAACCTGAATAACATCAATAATAAATAAATGATGGAAAGTAAGCAACAATCATTAAAACTACTTCTGGAATCAAATTCTTTGTTTCTTACACTACTCTTTTGCTTATCATGTTGTTTAAATGGGCTTTTCTGACAAATTGGTGCTTTTGCAGCTGAGGAATTTAGTATGGGCAACATCAAAGCACGATGTCTACATGGTGCAGAACTATTCTGTTATGCATTGGTCATCACTGCTAAGAAGAGGCAAAGAGGTGCTCAATGTTGCAGGGAAAGTTGTACCTACCCAGGTTAGTATTTCTTGCTAGTTACTACGATTTGCTGCTAGCTATGTGCTTTCTGATGGATTTTATTACTTGGCTATTCCACAGAAGCACTGTGGATCTTCTCCTCAGCAGCTATCGAGAGTACACATAAGTACAATGTCTGTAAAAGGCAATCTATTGGTTGCTGGTGGATTTCAAGGCGAGCTTATATGCAAGGTTTTTTCTTTATAGTAGACTAACATCTCCTAATGATATCTCCATGTTATGTCAACTTGGTTCTTAAGTTTCATGCTCTTGATTTGGCCAGTCCTTGGATCAACCTGGAGTAACTTTCTCTACTAAATTAAACGATGATGGTGACATCACCAATGCGGTTGGCATCCATCGGTCTTCAAGGTGAGATGGTAGTCCATTGCATTGAACACATGTTCACCTTTGCCATTTGACTTGAATCTCCACCGGCTGTTTTTTCTCCAGTGGGTCTATTCAAGTGGTGACTTGTGGCAATGATTGCTTTGTGAGGATGTTTGATGCCGAGACATTTGTCCAACTAAGTCGCCTATCTTTCTCCTGGTCCGTTAATGTGAGTATACAATCACATATCTCTTATTGTTATTCCTTTCTACTATGACACTGTGCACTCATTTGGCTTCTTATTTTCTTGATCCTTCTTATAGAACATGGGTATTAGTCCGGATGGAAAGCTTCTTGCTGTCCTCGGAGATGACATAGACTGTCTGATGGTCGATACTCAGTCTGGGAAAGTAAGCCTGGTGTCTTCTATCCACATCTTTGATAATTCTGTCATATGTCGCATGAAATCTCATTCATTCTATTTTTTGCTGGAATATGTTGCGGCAAATTAAAATTTTCAGGTGATAGAAAACCTCAAGGGACATCTCGACTATTCCTTTGCATCTGCTTGGCACCCAGACGGTCACATCCTGGCCACGGGGAGCCAAGACAAGACGTGTCGGCTGTGGGATGTGAGGAACACTTCAGAATCCCTGGCGGTGCTCAAAGGAAAAATAGGGGCGATACGGAGCATAACTTTCTCAACAGATGGAAGGTTCATGGCAATGGCTGAGCCAGCAGACTTCGTTCATGTGTATGATGCAAAGGCAGATTATTGGAGGGCCCAGGAGATCGATCTGTTTGGAGAGATTGCTGGGTTGTCGTTCAGCCCTGATGCTGATGCGCTCTTTGTTGGCGTAGCAGATCACACCTATGGGAGTCTGTTAGAGTTCAGCAGAAGGAAGCATGACCATTACCTCAATGCGTTTCTATGATCCGAGGGAACGGCAACGTTCGTGGAAGTTACTTGTGCGTTGTATATAGATAGGGAGCAGATCAGATTTGTAAGGTTTTTCATGCAACACATATACTTCTCTGTACATACGTCGTTTCTGTTCATCTCTTAGTTTGTAGATTAGAATTTATGATGTTCGGTATTGGTAGATATTTTTTTAAAATTTTAATTTAATTCAAATTAGTCGATAGAGTTTTAATTAAATTGAAGTTTCTTAATAAATTATGGTTTGTTTTTATGGGTATATTTTAAGCTTTAGGGTTTTGGTGGTGAGAGAGGAAGGTAAGATACTTTGGATGTTTAAGGGTGATCTCTAGGGCTTCTAAAGATAGTTGAGGGAGCTTTTTTTATGTTTAGGTGAGAGGTGGACAAGAGGAGTTAGTACTTTGAGTGGAAATAATTTTAGGGTCTTATAATTGATAAATTTGATTTTTTTTTCAATGGATGTATTTAGGGATTTATTGAATTCTGTTAATTTTGTATTAGTATTTTTTTTAATTTGTTGACGTTGATCTTTTGATGTTTTCATTTGGTTTTAGAATTCTCCTTACCCTTCTCAAAAAAGTGATATTAAAGTTCAAAAAATTGATGATTAGAGATTTAAAAAAGGATATTATCGATTGTTTCTATTGGTTTTATTATGAAAAAAATTATGGAAAAAATAAATTCACTTTGTGACGGGGTGGAAGATATTTTTAAGCATACACATTATAAAAGATGAGCAAAAAAAAATTATGTGCTGAGTATTAGTCTTTTTTACATTGATAATATTAACAATAATATTATTAGTAATGATTTTATTATGATTATTTAGGATAAGATAATTTTTTTTATGTAATTGGAGATTATATACGTTGAGGATGAAGGAAGACGAAGATTTAATAGAGCCACACATATTGGGTTAATTAAAAAAACTTGATGTGAAGATTAATGACGAAGATCAAAGTAATATGAATGGTAAGATATTAGTTGCTCAAGATAAATGTTGATGAGAAGGATTTTTGACGAGGGTAGATCTTTGCATGACAGGTTCAAGTTATAGATATAAAGAGTATGGAAATATAAGACAAAATTATATAGAGAAAAAAAAAAAAGTAGAAGTGTGAATGTTTTGTTATGATGGACGGTAGTGAATGTTTTTTAGTTTTTAATTTATGTTACTAATGTTTACTCTCAAAATATATTATTCTCAAAAGGATTATTTTGATTCATTAAATAAAAAATAATTAATAAATTTTGTCTATTTATTAATATATATATATATATATATATATATATATATATATATATTACTCTCAAAATATATATATATATATATATATATATATATATATATATATATATATATATATATATATCACCGCAACCCCATCGATGGTCCGACCACAGGAGAGCTAACCGGTGGCCTGTGGGGCGAGTAGGCCGGGGGCACGTGGCGTTCTGTGATTTGTGCGGAGGAGAGGAGAGCGGCTTATATAAGGCTTTCCTACGGAACTCCGTTGTGCATCGTTGGTGAAGCCCGATCTCATCGAAAAGCCTCCGCACGCAATTGGGCGAGCCGAGCGATCCTTTCGGAGCGCGCAAAAAGCAATCTTCGATTTCCTTCTTTCTTCAGCAAGCTTCAGACTGTACTCTCTCTCTCTCTCTCGGGGAGCGAGAAAGCAAAGATCCAGTTCTTGCTCCCCGTTGCCCACGTTGCTTTCAGATATCCTCGTCTACACCCTTGGATCGATTCTGGTCCTTCTTTCTTCTTTTCCTTTCCCGGTTTGATCAGGAGGGGCTACCTTTTTCGCTAGACCTCTTTTCTTGATCGCCTTTTCACGTTGTTTGTGGCTTCCTTTCCACCTCGGTGTGCGATGGCTACAGATATGGATGTGTACAGTAGCATGTCAGCTTTCTTGTCAACTGATCCTTCTAGGGAAGCACTGGAACCTTGTATTCATGGTGCTCCCACCTCCTCTTTCTCCTCCACTGCAAGCTCGACCTTCCCCCAGCCTCTCTGCTTTCCTTCTCTCTCCTCTTCTCCTCCTTTCTCCTCTCTGTTTCACCAAAATCCTATCTTTTTTCTCTCCTCGCCTTTATCATCGAGCGCCCAAATGGTTCCGCAGCACGTCCAAGCTCAGTTCCAGTACCAGCAGCAGCTCATGGCCGCTTCCTCCGACCGCCGGAGTCTCAGGAGTGGGAACCTCCTCGCTCCGCACTCTCGGTCGATGAAGCGTGCTGGGGCGCCGCCGTCGCTTCCGAAGCCTACGAAGCTCTTCCGCGGTGTCCGGCAGCGCCACTGGGGCAAATGGGTCGCGGAAATCCGCCTCCCCCGCAACCGCACCCGCCTCTGGCTCGGGACCTTCGACACCGCCGAAGAGGCCGCCTTGGCCTACGACAGGGCCGCGTTCAAGCTCCGTGGCGATGCCGCGAGGCTCAACTTCCCGGAGCTGCGGCGCGATGGGGCTCACGTGGGACTGCCCCTGCATTCCTCCGTGGACGCCAAGCTCCAGGCCATCTGTGAAACCCTGAAGATTTCGCGGAAACAGGGGAGTACTTCACCCAGCTCAGTGATCAGGTACCAAGCCGGCACGAACGATGAACTCGGTGACTCGGGGTTGGAGGATATAAAGTCCGAGAGCTCACTGTCGTTGGAGGAGGATGAGTCGTCCTCAGGGTCATCGGCTGCATCCGCGATCCAGTACTTGGACTTCTCTGAGGCACCATGGGATGAATCAGAGAGCTTCGTGCTGCACAAGTATCCATCATGGGAGATCAATTGGGATTCCATTCTCTCCTCATATTAGTAGTCTAACAGTATGCAATCTTATGATAGATTTGGTGTAGTTTCTGGTTTGGGGGGTTGGCTTGGTTGCTGCAAATGGCGTATTGGACATTTGCTGGCAATTGCTGTATCATTTGGGTCCTTCCTGCACTAGCAATTGAATCTTTGTATGTAGTTCAATCTCCTGGTTTTGCTGATTTTTTTTTTCTATGCTCTACCAGGTTGTTGGTTGGGTTCTTCCCAAATCTCATGTGTAGCTTTCTAATTACTAATTTTGTGTGTATGGATGTGCATTTTGTGAGTTATCAGATCCAAATATTTGCAAATTATTGGGAGATTTAATGCAAAAAAGAAACAAATCTGTATCCTATCTTGCAATATTGCTGCTGCTAAAATGATATGCATATAGCATTAGCTTCATGAATGTTAAACATATAAATCATATTGTTTATTGTAGCTGATGATCTTTTAACTCTTTATACAGCTCAATTATGATAAAAGATTTATGTAGTCGATCCCAAATAGTGCACGCAACATTATGACTGACTTATTATTGTTGTATTGTATCCTCTAGATTCACAGAAGGAAAAGCCATCATTATGACACACAATTGTCTCGAGACCTGATCCATCCACTGCTGCTTGTGCCAGTATGCCACTCATCTTCTGTATGTGTGCAGGCCATGCTCTATCTGAACTGTAATCTGAATCAAGCTAAATAGATCCCTTTGGCCAGGGTAATACTGAATAGATTGTTTTAATGTTTCTTGTGAAGAGTTAGAGAAGAATTGAATGATTGTTTTCATGAATGAGATCAAGTTCACTCAATCTTTCATCGATGCAGGTGGGAGGTTTTGATCAAATAGACTCCATTGCAGGAGTTTGGTTCCTTCCTCCACTAACTTCATCAACAAATGGAGGTTTCAACTCTCAACTACTCTTCTCATTTTCCTACTTTATCAGTTCCTTCGACCAGAAGTCTCTGAGGTTTACTTTCATGTTCAATCCTTATCTGTATCTCTTTTGCTAGTTGATAGGAAGTGGACTATGTGTCAACAGAGAATGAAGAATCTGGATGTATACATCTGCTTGAACTGTGAAAAGGACACCATTGTTATCTGAAACAAGTCTGAACCCATGACACCCCCATACTGCATTCATGATTGCATGGGAGTTATGACTAGGTTCCCATTCCAAGCCACACATACCAAAAACATTCCATCTGTCTTTGCTTTATCTTTCTCCCTCAAGCATTTGGATGTTCATGGCTTCAGAGACAATCTTTTCTGGCTCACACTTCTTAGCCTCCTTTTTTTTTTTTAAAGGATAATTGAGGGGGTAGTCCCCCACCTAGATCATAATCTAAAAATCCAATTATGATCTCACATCAACATACCTGAATTCCTCTGGAAGCTTATGGAAGGAAGTCACTTGATAAAGTTGGCTCATGTAGTCTTACAGGTTAGCAGAATATAACCAAGAATCATTTCTTACAGTAAGTGGGTGGAAGACCTGAGCCTCCCTTATGCTCTGCCACTTGATTGCAAGTTCTTTCACAATAATCTTTTACAGTCCAGCCTATGTGGGAATGATTGATGATGCAACTACTTTCTAGTATCAAACATCCAATCCATGCAAAGTCAACCAACCCAAGGCAATTATCCCCATTGAAGTAGTGACACATGGATCCATGATAAGAGGCAATGTGTTGTTCATTAGTTGACTTTGACTTGGAATGTTGGTGCTTGGATAAAAAAGAGCATTAGCCTTTGCAGAAGCATTTTTTTTGTTATGTAAGACCTCATGAAAGATCCAACAGAAAAGCAAGACCAAAGCAGCTGTTTATGACAAGAAGCACTTGAGAATGCTGGTGAGTTTCTTTGTGGATGGATACAGAAGATAAAGTATCTAAATGTAAAAGCAATCGAGAAGCTACTACCTATTGGCTTGGTCCTGTGGATGGCACTTAACATCATGTAGGTGGCACAAAATTTAGTGGAAGCAACTCATAAACATCCTGAAAGCTAAGATGGTTGACCTCTATCACTTGTTTGCTCTTCTTTCCACGGTAGGTGGTCTTTAGTCAACATACAAGTATATTCCTATCTAAAGTTACATGCTCCATTTTGATGTTGGATACTCTGCTGCTATGAATCATTATTCTTTCTAATAAATCATGTGGAGAACACTTTTGTGGTTTTAGTTAAACTACAAATTATGGCCAAAATGGACATGGATATTTCATAATATGAGAATTGTTGCCATCATCATATTGTGAGAGATTAGTAAAGATGAGGGAAATACTAATACAATTAGAATGTTTCTCAATGCCATGATAACCATCCTAAGATTTCTCTGAAATTTAATTAGGAAGGAACCACAACATAGATTCTTTGGACTTCTGAAATATAATTTTGATGGTCAGAATGATGGTTCAAGTGATGCAACTGATTTAACATTCAAGCAGATATATCAGCTGCCTAAGCTATGTTAGTATGGTACTGCATGTCACAATATGAACAAGTTCTTGAGGTCCAATAATGCAAAGAACATAAGAACAGCAGTGGTTAAGAGGCAATAAAATTTACAGGTCTTCCATAATTTACAAGTATTGGGCTTGGGATTTCAGGGCTGAAATTTGACCCACCTCAATGGGCCTCCACGATACAATTCGTGGAATGGCCCTGTTCTACCCCCGTGTCTTGTTTGCAATGGCTTCTCTTTTTCTTCTTTCTTTCTTTCTTTCTTTTAAGAATCATCATGAAATATGGATGAAACTTCTTTCATTACTCTAGTCAGGACTCAGCGGATCCAGATATAGTTGATGAGATAAAAAAACAGGGGCAAATAGTCTTCAAATTCTCATAAGACTAACCTAATTACAATTATTCTTATACAGTAAATTCATTTAGTCCATGGACATTTACATTTTTTAATGATCTTCTATTCCATGATTTAATCTCTTGATGCTCTTCTACTTTACAATTATATCAGCAATAGAAGCCTCTTCCATGCACCTGCTAATGGCACAGCTTCTCCCTGCAAGCTTCTGGCACAAGCAATGAGACCCAACTTAAGGTCATCTGCTCCCCAGGACGGGGATTGCATCTAAATCAAGGTAATGTTCATGTCATCAGAATCCTTCACTGATGCTGCAACTAGCTCGCAATCGATTGGAATAGTTAGAAAAGAAAATGAAAGCATAAAGAGGTTGAACACCCAAGTCTGGCAACAAGGAACCTGCACATATCTTGCTTGTGGGGTTCATGTTCCTGGTGGAAATACCATGGTTCTAGAAATAAGCATTTTGTGGGAAACTGCCATTCTTGTTCTCCAAAGTTTCTAGGTAGGTTTAAAGTGGAGAATTCTGCATTCACCAGTAGAAATCAGCAAGTAGGAAAGCTTATGCTCTTCTCTGAAGAATCTAATGTCTCTTTTAGAAGCCAGCATGATCGAAAGCACTTTTATTTTGATTCCAAATTCCCTTTTTAAAGTTCTTGCTTTCGCGTTTATCACCGGTCTTAATATTCTTATTCATTCAACTGACAATGAGTGCTTTGATTTGTAGGAGCTGTCATCATCTTGCCATAACCTAATATATATAGGGAGGTACTCTTCTGAGCCTTGTTTCCATAGATCATTCAAATTTGGAACAAAAGTACATGTGGGGTCATTGATGACAGTAGGGAAGAGAGATCATGAAGATGATTTCAGTTATGTCACTGGATTCTATCTGATTAGGTTAATATGCAGCAAAAGTTCCTTGCTTCATTGCAGCAAGATGCTCTTATGATTAAGAGATACATGAAAGTAGAGTCAAAACTGAAGAATTTGATGCCATGACAAACTCTCATCCTGCTTTTGTTCTCTTTTCTTCCTGTCTTTTACGAAGACATGCGATGAGCTCTTCAATTTGTTTCTGGCCATTTGCTGATAGTTTTTGACCAGTTGCAAGCAGCCATCCTTCATGTCCTCCAATTTGTTTTCCCTTTGTCTTTCCTTCATCATTTTCATCCTCTTTACCAAATTCGATGCACAAAAACCATAAGTTTGCATCTGCTGATTCTGCACTACAGCTTAGAGCAGTCAATCCATGTCTTCCACACAATGAGCTACCGCCACCTTGTTTCTGCAGAAATGTAGCTCGAGGGAATAAATGCCTGGTTTTGCTTTTCCCTTCATCCTAACAATCAATAGAAGGTGTTCAGCTTCAGCAAGTTTGGTGGCATCCAATTCAACACGAAGTTCTGAAACCTTTTCAGTGATTGTGAGGATCTATCTATCCTCCCAGTTGAGAACTTTGCTTGGCTCTCTCACCCAACTCGGTGCAAAACTATTTTGATGCCCTAAACCCAAATCTATAATGAACGTTCTACATATCGCTCATCATATCTCCACTAGATACTGCAGATAAATGGAACGTTAGCTCTCTGTTTTCTGGCTGCTGATACCACCACCCATCAGAAGCGCTCACGAGGAATCAGTCCTTTTGCAGTTGTTGCTTCTACAATTGTTCGGCATCATCCAGGACTAGGAATCCAACTTGTCTCCAACACGGATGTAATTGGCAACCATCATGAATCCCAACTCGCACTGTCGATGATGTCCTCGGTGGTGGCATCGCATGTGGATGCCTTCCTTGAAGATCCAACCAAGCATCCCAAGGACAGTGACGGCGAGAAGGATCACAGCAGCCATGCACCGATTCGTGGCAGCAAATTGGCTTCACAGGGAAGGCGGATGGTATCAAAACTCGGGAGCTTTTTGTGTGTGCAGACTCTGATCTGATTCAGTGAGCAAATGATTGGATCAGCTGGAAAGAAAGATTTGTATGGCTGATGGAAACAGCGGCAGTAGCTTCGATTCTTGTAGCTAACTTTCCATCTTACCAAGAACATAATTATTTTGATATCATAATAAATATTATTTCTTTTCGATTTGGATTTGGATGATCAGGATTCGAATCACCAAAATGATGATTGCACTGTCTTTAACCCTTACCACAAGAGTAATTTGCTTGACATTTGTATGTCATTATTGGTTGCATCAATCATTAAATCCACATTAAACTGGGATTGTGGATGCACTAATTAATCTGTCATTATTGGTTGCAAGCACCTGTCAATTACTTGGAGGTGGAGATTGACCCCGGCCTAACCTCCTCCTCCCCCTTTTTTGCCCTTTTGTTCGTGACAGATCTTGGCCTTCTTTTCTAACGCACCTGTAACCACGAGGAACCTTCCATGATGCCTCCCTCCTCCACCCAACCCTTCGCCTTCGCCTTCGTCGATGATTTGAGATGAAGCAGGAGACTGACGCAGAGAAACGCCGTCGTCGCTTCCGACGCTCGACACGTTTGCATGGCCATGACGTGGGCTCGCCGTGGCGCGTGCACGGAACATGACGTGGTGGGCCCACCACGGGCTCAAATCTGCGTGCGACTCCCCACGCACGCGACGAGTCGGTGGGCGGCAGGCCACGCTTTTGTTAACCCTTTCGTTACCCACCCCGACCGGTCGTCTGCGTGTTTATAGGGAGGTCGTCCGTGCGGGACCCGCAGGTTGATCGTTGATCGCCGCGGAAAAACCGCCGGGTGGGCGAGCGGGTGACACGAGAGCGTGGGAATCCAGGATCGAGACGCTGGGGAGCGACACCACGCAAGGCGCACGACGTATTATACGTGACCGGTGGGGCCCGCGAGGAAGACACGGATCGACGGCATGCAATTTCCAGCGCGTTGTGCTGGTATTTTTTAGAGTATCGGCTTGTTGAGGTTTATTTATTTATTTATTTATTTGATTTATCTCCTACTGTTGTTGATGCTCCGTCGGAACCACTTTAGATATGTATATATACAGTGAAGCTAATGCGTGGATTGTAATAGAAAATCTAATTATAGATGAGCACCTAAGCTGATCCGCAAGGACATCAGAAAACTAACTGTATAAGATTAATTAGGATCTCTCATCTTCTCTTGTATTCTACCAATTCTACGAAGTCTCCATCACATCTCCTCGATTTAGTGGAGAAGCTAAATTAATTAGTGTGGATCGTTTTCAACTCGATTAGTGCTCGCATCGATCAACAAGCGATTAATTACTTAATGGGAGGGAAAAGTTGAGGTTTGAGGCATGTGACTGTGATCTTCTTGGTAGAGAATATGTGCTTTCAGTTCCCATTGCACTAATCTGTGGAGAGGAAGATCCAAATGGCTACTACACTCGCAAGTGGCAGGTCTTAATCTTAATGATTAGATTAGATTAGAGGGTGCTAATGTTGTGATCATGGAAGGTTGCTCCACGTAAAACAAAATGACTACTTGTCTTCTCGAGGAACGTCTCTTAAGCGTGCATGTCTATTTCAAATATCTAACTTCGCAACATGTGTTTGTGATCGATCATATATGGCTTTCCTCGAGTGATAGCATACTTGGAAGCTTTGTAGGAAAGTTATTTGTAGACATCAACCAACCTTCTATGTTGGAAATGTGTTATCGGGAGATGACAAAGGAAAATATGTGAATGATAAGGCAGAAAAGTCGTCGGAAAATAATTGATGGCATGGCTCTCCTGAGACATGAAGACGTGTCCGGCTCCACATCACCTTTTCCTAAGGCATGTGGGTTTGGTCATGTGTCTCCAAGACATCTCCCTTTTAATGCAATGATAGAGATGTAGAGAGAGAGAGAGAGAGAGAGAGAGACAGAGTTCATTGCACCGGCCATAGAGCCTTTTGATGTAGATAGATAGATAGATAGATAGATAGAGAGAGAGAGAGAGAGAGAGAGATTGTGATTGTGGTTGTGGTTGTGGTAGGAAAAGTACACAAGAGCTCATGGAAGAAAAGGTGATGAAGGAGGTAGCCAGTTTGCTTAGGCTGCCTCCAATTGGTGTTGTGTTGGTCATAGTATTATCATTATTAGAGCATGCATGCAAGAGGTCAAGCGAACGAGGATATAATATTGGAAGAGTGAGGTATCATCATGTCGAGAGATCAATATATAAGGTTACATTGTATGGCCATGATTATATATAAATATTAATACATGAACAAGAAGAAGGATTGTCATCTAATAAACCTAATAAAAGGTCGGAACACTGCAGTGAAATGAAGGTTAGGTTGGAGTTGGTTGGCTTATGCTTTATATTATCTTTCCTTGCATTAGGTAAAGCAACTTCCTCCATGTTGATGATGATTCTTTTCTTGCTCAACATTGACATCTACAAACTTCTATGTGCTTTTCACTAAAGGTTAGGACTTGGCAAAACAACACATGTATATATAACTTATTTGTCAGGAAATGCTCATATAATGACATGGATGTGACTATCAAACATGGAAGGAATTTTTTTTAATTATTTATAGAATTGAAAGAGTATATCAGAGTCAATTATTCTATCAAATCATGTTCTAGTTACAAATAACATTTTAATTTTGTTGCTTTATCTTTTACTCAGAGTCACCTTAAAAATTCTTTACATGAGAGCTGTATATTATCAACCTGTTTCCATCATCCTTACTAATCAATAAAATGATTCATGTATGTGGTTCTTCTTTTTCTAATTTTACAAGGATATATATATATACATGATAAAATTACATTCCAAAAATAAAACTAAAAATAATTATACTAAATGTCAGCCAGTAATATTTTATAGTGGCAAGCATCATTTTTGACTGCAGTTCTTGAGATACACACAACTTTAAAAAAGGTTTAAATAAGTAAATCACAAATGTTGCTAATTAGACAATTGATGTCATAAAATCATGCATTTTTCTCTCTTTTCAACCCCAGTGAATGGAGTGATAAATACAAAAAAATGCCTTTTTGGTTATGAGAAGGCTGTTCATAAGTGTTTCCCGGTTGCAACTTGTGCACTCCAAACACCAATTCTTGGGGATTGATATTTTAGCCTCTTGGAATGCTACATCTTTGCCCAAATTGAAACCATATCATGAGATCCAAACTACAGACAACCCAAGTGAATAGCAGTGAAGAAAAAGTAATCTGGTTTCTCCACACCATCCGCCTACAATTTATGGTATCCAAACATCCAAAAATTCTTTCAAGATTCTACACACAACTTTTTGAGTTGTGTTTCTACACACATCCAAACATTAAGGACTTTTTGAGTACATATTTTTGAACCCATCAAAAAATTATAAATATCTTAAAAACCATCATCAATCCATCTAGAAATGATTGATCGAATGCATCCCAAGATGCTTCAATTTTCAAAGGAAATCTATGGGCACATCTCATTTCATGTGCTTATATTCTCCTTTCCATTTCTCTATCTCTCTCTCTCTCTCTCTCTGTCTCTCTCATGCTTGCAGCAGATGTACTACCTACCCAAGTAGAACATCCTGGTACTGCAACTTTGGACCTCACCAACATAAACATGCATAACTGGAGTTCAGAAATTCTTTTCCTAAAGTACATTTGAGTCTAAAAATAGTTTGTGCTGTATTTTTTAAATACGTAAATTTCTTTGTTTCAATGGATCTAAATACTCATGAGTGCATACATTAAAGATAACGTGCACTAAGCACAACAGTAATGGAGTAGTACTACACAGTGGCACACTAACACAGGGCTCGTGAGGACATGGCAAATCTGGTTTTATGTGCAGCCCACGGCTGCAAGATTAACCCATGGGCGGATAGTTCGGTTTGGGGCTCCCCAAACTACCTTCTTTTCGAATCCCCCCAAACCAAAACAAAAAAAGGCAAGAAGAAAATAAGAAAAACATTAAAGAAAGGCAATAAAAATGAGCCAACAAAGAAATAAATGCAAGTTGGAGCGACACTCCGGATTCGCTGCCACGGTCATACAGGAACAGCACACGTCGTATGAAGCGGCGACATCTGATAGGTTTTGTAATGCGGGCCCAACCGAAAGCAATCGTACGTGGTCGTTGGCGCGGAGGGGGTCCCGCGGTTCTCGTCCCCCCTCCCCGGGCCCCGCCTTGGGGTGCTGAGTCGAGTCCGTTTCACGCGTTTTTGTCCGCTTCGGTGCAACTCCCGGGCCAACGGCCTTATATAAATCTCTCCGATGGCAGCCACTCTTCCTTGCAGATCGCACTGGTCTTCCCTTCCTTCCATCCTCTGCAGGAGAAGCTACGCTGTCGTTTCCATTACCATTACTATTAACACCGCCTTTTCCTCCTCCCTCCTCTCTCTCTCTCTCTCTCTCTCTCTCTCACCGGGGAGAAGAAGGCCACGGAGACGTACAAAACAGAGGGCAAGCAGAGGTCGCCAATGGTTTCGGTCGCGGAGATGAGGAAGCAGAATGTGATCGTGCCGGAGGAGTTCGCCATCACCAGGGTGATGGCAGCGCCGTCCCGCCCCGGACTCGCGGTCAGCTGCAAGAAGATGTTCAGCCAACTCGACAGTGGGAGGATCGGTGCGTGGGTCGACTCCATGCGTGCCTCCTCTCCTACTCGCGTCAAGGCGGCCCCCGCGCTCGCCCCTTCCATTACGGCCTCCAGTGACCAAGAGTATGACGGCTGGCTGGTAAGTTTGGTGGATTCTCTGGTTGGGATTGGTTGGTCTTTGCGTGGCAATGGCGGTGATCTCGGGGGGGAATCGTGTGCAGGGACAACATCCTTCGGCGTTAAGCAACTTCGACGACGTGGTCGCAGCATCGAAGGGGAAGCGGGTCGTGCTCTTCCTCGACTACGATGGCACTCTGTCGCCCATCGTCGACGACCCTGATCGCGCCTTCATGTCTGACTCGGTACGTTCATTCTCGCGCTGCGATTCCTGTGCTCGCCGTGTTCTTCTGCTCTCTTTGACGCGCATCTTCTTGCCGTGTTCAGATGAGAGAGGCAGTGCGAGACGCAGCAAGGCATTTTCCGACAGCCATCGTGAGCGGCAGATGCAGGGACAAGGTGCGTCGCCATGCCTGCCTCTCCTGGCACCGGATGTGATCACTGTGCTGCCGTTTGTCTTTTAACTCGTGGGGTCTGCTTTGTCGATGATGTTTAGGTGTTTAGCTTTGTGCAACTGCGGGAGTTGTACTACGCTGGGAGCCACGGCATGGACATACGAGGCCCCGTTAAGGCAACAAAGCACACGAAAGCCAAGGTGGCTACCTCGGTCCTTCCTCTCATCATCACTGCCCAAACTTTGCTCTGTTAGTGCACACCATCCATCCTTCTAACTCTATATGGATACATGGGTGCAGGCGAAAGCTGTTTCCTTTCAACCAGCCACTGAGTTCCTCCCCATGATAGATGAGGTGAGTTCTCATGCCTGTGACAGTGATTTCTTTCGGTCTCTTTGTTGTTTTCTCTTGCACCAGCAGCCATACTGATTCAGGGATTCTATTTCATCCAAGGTCTACAAAGCATTGGTGGAGAGAACAAAATCCATCCAAGGATCGAAGGTCGAGAACAACACATTCTCCTTATCGGTTCACTTCCGGTGCGTCGAAGAAAAGGTCAGAAATCTATGTATATTAACACTCTCACACCTTAATATCTGTTCTTGATTCATTGTCCTGAAGATAATTCTTGACTTCCGATCGCTTGGTGCCAGAAATGGAGCTCATTAGCTGAGCAAGTGAGGTCCGTGCTCAAAGACTATCCCAAGCTCCGCCTCACCCTGGGAAGAAAGGCATGACTTCTCTCGGAATCCCTTCATCCGTAGTCTCATCTACGTGAACACGAACGCTAATTCCTTTGACTCTAAAACCTACAGGTACTGGAGATTCGGCCGAGTATTAAGTGGGACAAGGGGAAGGCCCTCGAGTTTTTACTGGAGTCTCTTGGTGAGCTCATCAAGCAGGAACTCCATCACATCTACCGCTCCATTAAATATGTTATAACCTGATTTGAATTGCTTATCTTTCTGTAGGATTCGCCCACTGCAGCAATGTGTTCCCAATATATATAGGAGATGATTGCACGGACGAAGATGCTTTCGAGGTACCGTATGATCTGTCATCATTTTATTAGGCGGAGTGGAAGTTCTGATCAGTAACGTAGCTCTCGTTTCAGGTCTTGCGTGATAGAGAACAGGGTTTGGGCATTCTCGTTTCCAGGCGCGCAAAGGAAACAAACGCATCCTACTCTCTCCGAGAACCTGCCGAGGTGAGGAGCGATTTTTGCATGCCAACATGACCTTCTCGACATGAATGCTAAGGCGAATGCTATCTGCAGGTCAAGGAATTTTTGCGTCGGCTGGTGGGGTGGAAGAAGCAAACACCATGAGGAGCGGCTCTGATGAAGCAGTTCTGCCTGCTCCTTTGGCTGCGGATTTAGGCCTGAAAGCAGTTCATGCTGGCTTTCTTTGCCAAGGATTGTAACTATTTTTACTGTACAAGAAGAAAAATAAGCAGTCTTTTGTTTTGCCTACCAAGTGTTCTTCCTTTGGAGTGCATGATCTCCATCTTGTCCGGGCGATCCTATCTTACAGAAAAGAAATCTGAGCTATTTTATTGACAAGAAAGATTTGTTCTTCCGGTGATCTTGGACTGCGATAAATGCGCTGCCAGAGATGGAGCCTTTCAACGAAATCATTTTATATGACAGCATGCATGGCAATGGCAAGATAGAAGAACATAAGCACATGAAGTTTTCACTCTAGAGCACACGCTTCAATCAAACATATGGATGGAGTCCATGTTCTGACCAGCATAATTTATCCTCTTCATGAGGAGAGACTTTCCTTTGAAATCTAACAAATGAAGTCTCCGCATGAGATGGCAGCAGAAACATATTAGCATTGTTTTCTCTAAATATTTTTCTGTGCATTTGTTTTCTTTTTTACTCTGTACAGAACGAATGGAGTATCTATCTATCTATCCCAAATTCCAACAGCTAAAATAGAGCAGCTGTTGCTGGTTCAACCACAATACCGGAAAAGATGATCTCACCTACAATCAGATGATGTTAATTACAGGAGATCCAAAATGTGACTGTTTCATTCATGATGCATTGGACTCTCTCTCGCTAGTAAGCTTAGGCATCTGCACCGTATAAGCCTTGTCCTTTTGATTGGTTTGGGATTGGAGAGTAGACTCCATACTTTTCCAGTGACAGCAGTCGTGCAGCATTGGGTCAATGAGACAACCTAAGTTCCGTGTCACCTCACACATATGTAAGTACCATGGTTTGTGTATGCACAAAGCAAACAGCCTCCTCCTAGATTTAGCAGCAGCCTTGTGATCTACATTATCAATCAAGACCTAGAGATCCCCATCTCGAGGGTGTCAAATGCCCTCTCAAATAGTTTATGCCTTGCTGCCAAAATGGGGTGCAAGCGATTGCAGTAATCTGGAGCAACCACCGGCGTTTACTTGATACTTTACACCTAAAGTTGTGGAGAACCCATGCTTCCAAAAGACCATGGACTAACTCATTGGGCACTAACTCCGAAGGAGGATCTGCAACCACATCTAAGTTTGTGAGGGAGGGAGGAGGAACAGCCATTATAATTGTTTGTACACTGCACAGAAACCACCCCCACCAGTGGCCACCTTTGAGGTCAATCAGCCTCCCAAGGGAAGTGGACTCTCGATACAGTTTGTAGCTATGCTAGCTTTTCAGGCATCGGGAACATTACATATTCTGTGAGTTAGGCCATGAAAGGGAAGGTGTGCACAACCACAACCACCACCGGCACCAACGTCAACACCACCATGGGTGTAAAGTACTACACCTCGGTTGAGAGAGGAGTAGGAGTCCACTTAAAGCCTTCCCCTTGGGCAACATCTGCGGCTCGGGGTGGGGCTACTGACATGCCTACTAAGCCTCTTTTCCAGCCATTTCATGCGTGGAAAGGTGGTGTCCACTAAACTCCGGCCATTATTGGCGCCTAAGCTTGAATAAAGTAAGCCATGGCAGCTCAAATAATTGGAGGAGGAGATCTCCTCGATCAACCACTCACCTTCATTAATCCCCTGATCATCAATGCTCCAAAACAAATGCATTGAACAAGGGGAGTTTTATATCATCCTTATCAAATGGATGCTTGTCTTCGTACTCAAGACATGTCGCCCGTGGTGCCTACACTCCCTCACCTTGCAGTGGTACTGCAAATGGATTTAAAAGGAAGAAGGGGGTGATGAAGCACAACGGCAGCCACATGCTTGCAGGAGACAGTCCACCGGAGGCACGTCAAACACACATGCAGGCGTAGCGTGGTCCCGAGCGACGTGTTGCTGCATGGCGGCCATCCACTGCATGCAGCAACGCAAAATACGACTGCTTAAAGCTACTACCCGTCTTGCGCTTTCTGTCTGTCTGCTTGTCGAAAGGAGAGTGCCTGCACATGTGACCTTGGATTGCAGCCTCTGCCATGAGAGACCAGGTAGAGCTAGCTAGCACTCGCTCACCATTATCGTCATCATCATCATCATCATCACCTTCATGCAAGGAAGAGGAAGGTTGGATTAATGCAGTGATCACATTTAGCTCATGGGAATTCTCGCTGCTACATATATAATCTATGCCTCGCCACAAAGAAAACAGTCCTGGTGAGTTGTTCTTGCAGAAGAGCGGCTGAGGTTGCAAGGAACTTGCTAATCTCACCTGTGGATTGGTTCCTTTCCTCCGTAGTTTTCCTGCAACAAATAAAAACAACAAGGTTTTGCTCTTTCGTGGACACATCCTTCAACCCAGAAAATCTAGCACAAAGGAGATCCAACATTGCTCAAAAATATATAACATCTTAAAAATTACACAGATAATTCCTTTGTTCCTGTGATTTTTCCAAATCTGACCGTCTAAAGAAAAGTCAAGTCACTACTATACTGGATTGATGATGTACAGGAAACAAACAAGTGAAGGTCAATGGACTGGAGAAATGAGGCCCAAAGATTACCACTACTGAGCCCATTCGTACAGCCAGCCTCTCTTCTATTATACACACTCATCTTGTTTAGGCGTTCGAACAAACTCGTTTACAGAGTTGTGAACGACCATGAACTCATTAATATAGGCATAAATAAATGATAAAAGATGTGAAAATTATGTACTCGTGTTTATTCTTCACGAAACGGTTTTGAAATTGATGCCTTCTGTATTATTTTACCCGATCCAATAATTTAAGAGGGTTGCAGTCAAGTCCGAAGTCGAAGTTAAATCCAACCCGATATCACAACAGCGTCTGTTAGGCTGAAATTGGTGTCCATCGACGGCCTCCTATTAAAATCCGACCCGATAACCACATGACGCGACGCATCTTTCTTGGAGTGTATTCGCGGTTCATATAGGATTTTGGATCCAATGACATATTCGGATTCGGGTTTAAATCCGACACCAATTATATTTTGAGAAGGCGGGTTTTGCCCACTGGCGGGTCTGTCCTCTCAACGCCCGACTGGCGGTTTATGCATGGCTCGAATTGGGAATCTTGAAGCCCTAATTTGAACCATCACCGCCTCCTATTGATTTCAATCCTCGAGATAGTCACCATGCCGAAGGTCCTCGGCACCGGGCACCCTCTACTTCCGGCGGCACCAGGCGGCCGAGTACCCCGTCGAAGATCGCCGTTACCAATTGTCTGAAGACCGCCCGTGGCGCGGCCTCTTCACGAGATCTCCACCTTGGGCTGGCGAAGCAGGTTTACGAGACCGAGCTTCTGGTGTCGGGCCGCGGCCGAAAGACGGTTCCGTTACACAGGGTCATGATCCTGGAAGTGAGCCGGTACTCGGAGAACTATCTGTGTCTAAACTTTGATCCGACGACCGCGACATCCGAGCATGTCATGTCGTTGTTCTTCATGGTCAACGAGAAAGTGAGTTGGTTGGTTGCCAATTTTGGATTTTTGACGGGGAAACAGTAAAAGATATAAATGTTTTCCTATTACATTATTGATATATGTTCTGATTTCCTGAGTTCCGTGAGAATGTGGCTGCATGGATTTGTTTTCATGACCGGAAGGATTCATTCAGGGGGTTCTCCTGCTAATCGAACAGGTTTGATATGTTTCTCTATTGTTCTCGAGTTTATTGAGCTTCTGCCTTGTTTTCAGTATTGGTCTGTCCTTCCATATTGTTCTAATGTACATGGCGAGAGTTGAGATCACTGTCTTGAAACAACCATGTCCTCATAATCTGACTTCGTGCTTGATTGTTAGTCAAGTTTCGGTTTTTTACTCTCTCTTGTCTTAATAATTCTGGAGCCTTTTCTATCTGCTAACTATTCATTTGATCTGCACACATGTTAGGGAAGAGCTTTACGTATCGCCGAGAAGACAAATTACTTGCTTTTCAGGTATGCTGTCGCGATCTTTATAACTCAAATCTAATGAGAGGTAGTACGGCAAGTGAATTTTGTTCCTAAGCTAATCAAGTTTCCTTTCCTCTTTATGTGCAGTCTTCATGATGTATTTAATAGCTCTTTGGTTTTGCATCCTATCTTAATTTTGTGCTCAACAATTGTCTAATATTCGATGGGTGTATGAGTTTTGCTTGCCTAATTTTGATTAACAGTTTGGCCATCTCAGATCCTTGATTTTTTTTTATAATTAATTTTATAAAAGGTCAATGTTTTTTTCTTAATATCTATGTATAACCATTTGGTAGACTGGTAAGGCAAAAACAATAACCATGGAGACTTGATTTGATAGAAAAAGGTATAACCAGTCAACTGATGTGATGAGACACAGATAAGCAAAAAAATTCAAAATTGCTATGCTTTTACAAAGTATAGAACATTAATCTTATGAAGTATCTGTGCTTCATAGAGCACCCTTAACTCTCATACATGAGGGTGGGACTCTTCCATCATTTGCTTGGTTTTTAGTTGAAATTAGATAAATGAGGCTGTTACTATTAGGTGGGAAACTGCTACTTGACATGCCATTTTTATTTACCTTAATGAAAACATGGATTAAACTCCTGCAAGTTTATTTGTGTATGTGTTAGGCTTGTAAACTTGGATTCCAGTTTACCGTGTGCTTCTATTCCTAATGTGTGCCAACGTCAAGGCCTATCAAATGTAATGTTTGCCGGTGCTGTCATTTGCTTATATGTTATGGCATGGTATGCACTATTTACTGTGTCAGTATCTGATTGGCATGGTGCATGTTCTGATGCTTGATGTGTTCTGTAAGATCGTACAATTCTCAATTTCTAGTGTAACATATCGAAAGCTAACAGATTATGATCTGTTTTAAGCAGATCATATCGAAAGTTGTTATCCTCAGGTTTGGTCGCTCATCAAAAGCACCGGGATGATCTAACCTGGTCCGAACCCAAGGTTGAAGCTAGAATCACCCTTGATATGGATCCTAAAGTCAATGAAGGGAGAAATGAATGGGAAGAAGATTCGAGAAGTCGAATCGAGTCTTTGCAAGCTTTCATTCCTGCGACAAACGATGGTCATCGACCTCGCCCCCAACTCGGCTTTTTTTTTATAGATTTCATATTCAGAGAGTGAGAGAGAATCTATGTATAGTCGGGTCTTCAACTACTTACGATCAGGAAAATATTCTTCTTCTGATGGCTCTTGATCGGAAGAATATTTTTCATTAATGTGGTTATTGCTGAGATAGTGAATTCGATCCAATTGATTTTCTCATAATCTGCTAAGCGGATGCTCTCATGTCAAGTTTTGAGGACGGATAATTTTGTGCTTTTCTGTGTTTTTGTATTTTGATGCCCAAGTAATTAAAAATTTGGGTTTCAATTAGGGTGAAATTTATACATTATTTTATTGAGTAAGAGGAGCAACGAATCAAGTAAACTACTTTAGCGACCCTTTTTTTTTTAATCATAATATTAAATGGGCTCAGCATCTTAGCAATTTTAACACAACAATAACATCAAACAAATCAAGTTAATTAAAAAGTATAACAATGAAACCACAGCCTTTAGCTTAATCAAGATAATTAAAAGTATTAACAAATAAATTTTTAGCTTAACAAATTTTTATTAAGCTACTGAATCAGTGGATTAACTAATTTGATAATAGATAAATTTTTATTAAAAATAAAATATGTAATATATATATATATATATAGCGTTAAAAAAATTATAATATAATATAACTATCTTTAGAAAAATTTAGACATCTTAGCTAAGGAGAAAAAGTCAGAGCATTTAAGTCTTGTTGAGTTTGAAGTCCAACTGATAAGGAGATATTCCAGTGTTAGCAGGCGAAGATATCATGCAGCACAAAATATCTCACAATTATCGGCCATGGTTTGATGAGAGAACGAGTCTCCATGTAACCTCCTCCCTTGTGTGTTGCTAACGAGTCGGTGGAGGTAACCTCACCTCATCCATAAACCCCAATTGCGTCCTTCCATCCGTGTACTGTTTCATCGTCTCCCCTTCTTCTTCCTCTGTCCGCTCGAGCCACCAACTGCTGCGTATCCTAATGCAATCTCCTCTCCCGTCCCATTAATCGCTTGAATCCCCCTTCTGCAAAACCCTTCTCTTGAGGACATGGTGGTGGAGGAGGAGCGGAGAAGCGAGGCCGCCAAGATGGGAAGACAAGAAGAGAGGGAGATGGAGCTGTTGTTGGATGAGATCCCCCACGCGACGTCCACCCATCGTCGCCTCTTCCATTGCGGCGACGACTGTTGCGTCGACGGCCTCGATGAGTTGCCGCCGCTCTGGGGGCCTGGGTGTGGAGCTGGGCTTGACCTTGGCCCCTCTTCGGAAGGGTCCTACTCCTCCTCCTCCTCCTCCGCGTCCGGATCGGGCTTTCTCTCCGGCCGGCTGCCTGCGCCCTCTGCTGCGGAAGAATCCGCCTTGCTCGACAAGCTTCATGATCTCCATCTGGGAGTTGGTCCACGAGAACCAATTGGTCCACCAAATGATCGCTGTGGCTTAGTGATGGAAAGCTTGGTTCCGCGTGGCTATGGCGCTTTTTGGGACCCTGTTCTTCCCAATTCTCTGTCGTTTAATGTGGATAAGAACCCTTCTTTGGATCATTTGCTGCAGCATTACTCTGTAGATTCTTGTTCTGCAGATCCGTGGATCGAGAGTTGGCCATGTGGAGCAAAAGAATTGGGCACTAATGGAGTTCTGGGAAGAAGTTCTCACCACAGGGGGAATTATGGGGGGGCTTTTGCCTCCTGTATCGATCAATCTTATCCGATTCCTGATACGTTCTTGCCGTCAGAGAAGATTGGAGTAGATTCCACTTGGAATAGGAAGCCATCGGATGCCTCAAAGTCATATCACGACTCCCCATCGTTGAATGGACGATGTACTGATTCACCCTCTGTTAAACGACCTCAGCCAGTGAGAACTCAGAGAAACATCGAGGCCTTTGGATCCTTTGGATTTGGGGACAGTTCGATCGTACAGGGGAAGGGACTCTGCTACATGAGCAACCGCCGATGTGATGATCCCCGGACCGAAATTAGAATACCACAGTTTGATGAAGAGTTGCATGCGCAAGGAATCTCTGTGAAACTTCCAGCTTTTCCACTGAAGTATGATCATCTGATGGGTGTCAGAGGATGCATGTGCGACATTGCAAAGGACCAGCGTGGCTGTCGGTTCTTGCAGCGGAAGCTTGATGAAGGGAAGCATCAAGTGGATTTGATTTTTAATGGTGTCATTGATCATGCTGTGGAGCTCATGGTCGATCCATTTGGGAATTATCTCATGCAGAAGCTACTGGAAGTATGCAGTGAAGAACAACTGATGGAGATCCTTCTTGTGTTGAAGGAAGATCCAGCTGACTTTGTCAAAATCTCCCTAAACATTCATGGGTGAGTAGCGGCTTGCTTATTGCTTTTCAATAGTTACTTTGCTCATTTAGAGCTTTTGATAGCATTATGGTATAACCTTATTTGGGTATATATTTCAGGACAAGGGCGGTGCAGAAGTTGATAGATACCCTCAAAACTAGGCAGCAAATTGTATTGGTCATATCAGCCATACAACCTGGGTTTCTAGATCTCATCAAGGACTTAAATGGCAGCCATGTGCTACAACATTGCTTGGAATCTTTTGCAGCTGAAGACAACAAGGTAAATTTTCTAGCTGATGAAAAATATTTCATTGCTTGTGTGGTTTGAGATACACATCACCTTGCTTTTTGGTATCTGGTCTGTTTTTGCCTCTTGCACAAGGTAGTCAGTAACACTAGATACTGTCAATAAAAGATATGAATTTGACCTGCTTGTTGCAGGATTGTTGAGGTTGGTACTGCATTTTGGTAAATCATGCCTTTTCCTTTTTTAAAGTTGCCTCCTATAGGTTTGCTTATAGTTTACTTAGGATTTGGCCATCCTTGGTCTAGAAAGTCTCTAAATAAAGCACTATATAAGCAATTGATGACTCTTATTTGGTGAAATTTTTATTTAACTGGTTCTTTTGGTATATCTTCTTTTTTATGTCTCTTTCTATCCTCTTCAGATTCTCTGCTTGTCATTCCCATTATCATTAACCTGTTTGTACTTCTTACAATTCGCAGAAGTAACAATGTTGTAATTTCTTATTTATTTTCTGCTCTTAAATTTTCTACTTTCTTTTACCGAGCTTACATGAGTTAATTTGTACCTTTTGTGATCCACTAATTTTACATGGCATACGCTGTGACAGTTCATCTTTGATGCTGCTATGGAGCATTGTGTTGGAATCGCAACACATCGACATGGATGTTGTGTGTTGCAAAAATATATAGCACATTCTACTGGAGATCATCTGGCAAAGTTGGTTGCAGAAATTTCTGCTAATGGCTATGAGCTTGCTAGGGATCCTTTTGGGTATATACTTCATTCTTAAATCATAGTTTCCATTTTCTGTTGACACATGCAAACCCTCCTGAAACTAAAATAAAATCATTCTAGTTTTTCGGGTCCATAGCTTACATCTTCTACGCTTTTTATTTTATTTTATCTTCTTTGCTTTTTTGGTTTTTCCGAAACCGATTGGTTGCACTAAATTTTGTCATTGATATTGAACTATCAAATTTATTAGGTCTTTATTCTGTTTCAGAAACTATGTCATCCAATATGTTCTCGATATGAAAAACCCTTTAGCAGTTGCAAACTTGGTCGCTCAATTTGAAGGGAAGTATGTACAGCTTTCCACACAGAAATTTAGCAGTAATGTGGTGGAAAAATGCCTGAAGACTTTTGGCGAAGATGACCAAGCTACTATAATAGTTGAATTGCTTTCGGTCTCTCACTTTGAGCAACTACTGCAAGATCCTTATGCAAACTATGTCATCCAATCTGCTCTCGAAAATTCCAAGGTTTCTACGTCTAACCAATTTAGCTATTATATGAGTCCTTCCTATCCTCATGGACTCTTACCAATGCAGGGTCATCTCCGTGCTGCACTAGAAGAAGCCATATGCCCTCATGCAGGGGCCCTGAGAACCAGTCCTTTCTGCAAGCGAATCTTTTCACGGGCTTTACTGAAGAAGTGTTGTAGAATTGGAAGTTGAGATATCGTTGTCGATAGAATCCACCTGCCATCGAACTCTGGTTGTAAGTTTATAGTTTCTCATTTGTAAAATTGCAAGAGTTGTGATAATAAGCAATTTTGCTCCAAATACTGTCTTTCTGCTGTAATATTCTGCTGTTATGACTGTCCAGTCTATATCGCCCCTTACAGCTGGTGATTGTACAATGTAAAAACCGTACCCTTTTGCCCTTTTGTCGTTGAAATTAATGAAAGATGTGCAGTGCTTTGAATAGTCATTACGAAAGTTGTGATCCTTATCCATTTATATATCTTACTCTTTACCAGTGTATTATGCTTCACAGAATAATATGCATTTTCTGCTAATTGCTAACAAGTTTGTTGTATATGTGAATTGCGGGTTGTAATGTAATTCTTAGAAACTAATTTGAAATTGTGGCTGACGGAACTCTCGTCGTATGTTCAATCTGTAATGATGTCTGAAATCATTACCAATTATGGAAGCTATAAAATCATTGTGTGAAATTTGTTCTGTTGGATTGTGCATGCTCATTCCATTTTTTCCTTGAGCTATCACCAGGATAAATAATGTTTGCCTCTAAATTTATGTAATTAGCAGATGCTCTCATTAACAGAGCTTTCCAAGAGTCCTAATTTCTAAAACAATTTCTGAATGCTTAGGTGATCAGCCGATGTACTCATCAGGTGCAGTTCTATTACCAACCAACAATAATGAGCGAAGGCAAGCAAGAATAATTATATCAACATTGTCATCAGTTTCTCATATCAACATTGAGGTAAATTACCTGTTGTTAAGAATCTACCACTGATATTAGTTCAGTCCTCTAATATTGCCTCTTGTTAACACAAATTTAGAGTTTTTTTATTGACCAAATAACTCAGAACCTATATCAGCACAAATGCATCTTATAATTCTGGCTTTGAGTGCCTAAATCACATGAAGTACATCACATGATTTCACAGGTTGAGGTTCCTCTGTGTTCTGGTGATCTCTGGCCTGCATGAAATAGTATGCAAATCGAGACTTGGAACAGACACCACAGTGGAGAAATTAATACAAGAACTTGGAAGATAATGATGCATAGTTCAGGGTCAACTCTGTAGGTCTACGAGTATTTGTACTGAGCATCTCATAGAACCGCAAACATTTTATTCATCACAAAAAGAGATATGAAGTGAGTTGGTAACCAAAACCCAAAAGCATATCTTGATCTCGGAACTCAGGCCCCTTCATGTCCAATCAGTGCAAGAAGAAAGTCCTCAAAATCTCCACTAGTGTCCTTCTTTACAGCACTATCAAGGGCCACACTGTTCCTCTTGTAGTACAGATCCTTGATCTGTTTCATATCCACCTCTGCACGAGTGGTAATGATTCGAGAGAGAGCCCCTTCATCTGTTCCCGTTTTGCTAATGGCAAGCCGGATGACCTTCTCAAGATATTTCTCAGGGCATATAATGCAGCGAATGATGGCCCTCATTGCTGAAAGGAACTCGTTCTTGGGATCAGCCTTCAAATCCTGTGAATAGCCAATGCCAACAGTAAGCCGTCAGCAATCTTTCAATTAAGACGCACATCCAGCATTTGATGACTGGTAAACGCCTACCTTATTGATCGGATTGCCAAACTCATTGTGGTAGTCATTGAATGTTGCAAGCAGTTGTGCTTTGCTCCTCGTCGTGAGAATCCTAATCACGTCTTCATGGCTGTAGTCATTATCCTTAATCTTCTGATGCAGTATTTTCGCCTCTGATTTCGACAGGGACTTGTCCACCTCAGCTCCCTCGTAGCGGTATGTGCTTACAAGTGGTACGAGAAGCTACAGAACAAGTGAAGCAATTGAAGTACTTCGTACTCTGAAGGTAAAGCGATTGCTTACAAGAAACATATTGAATTCTATTTAGTTGTTAGCCCCCTGTAAGGTCATACCTAGGCACACCAGGCATTAGATCGAGCAAGATGAGAACCAGCAATCACACGAGGAATTCACCTTTCTGTATTCATCGCGAGTATGAGCCGCGACGTCCTCCTCGAGGCACCGCTTGAACCGAACCTGGTAAGCCCTCTTGGCCGCGAGCAGCTCTTCCGTCTTCCTCACCACCGCGATCTCGATCAACACCCGGTTGCCGGGGCTCCATTTCCTCACGACCTCATTCGCCAGCACGGCGTCCCTCTCCGCCGCGTCCAGCACCCACAGCAGCACCGCTCTCTGCCATCCCAACCCAACGACCGATCAGAAACAAGCGAAAACGAGAGGTTTTTTGGCACAAGTAAAAAGAAGCAGACAGGGTGCAGACCTCGAAGTCTCGGGTGAGCTCCTTGTCGAGGGGCTTGAGGAGGTCCTCGCCGTAGATCTCGGCGTAGGCGCGGCGGATCTCGCGGCGGTGGGCGGCGGGCCGGTGGGCGAGGACGGAGATGATCAAGCCCTCGTTGGTGCCCCATCCTGGTGGAGGAGAACGAATCGGATCGGTGAGACATCGGGCTCGTGCGAAGGGATCGGAGACCCCGACTCTTTTGGATCAGAGGAGGAGGACAAACCTTCGAAGGCCTTGTGGAGCTGCTCGCAATCCTCCGATGGGGACGGCAGGGGAGAGGGAAACGTCAGCGTCGACATCTTCTTGGGGAAACCGATCGAAGAAGACGATGTGAGTCTGGCGAGGAAGCAACAAGAGCGGTTTATAACGGCCGGAACGGTCAGCTTGGTGAATCGGTGCGCATATAATATAATATGCGAGAGCAATCTCTGCCGTAAAACATTCGACACCGGTCGATAACGATAACCGCCTGATGACATGGACGGTGGAGAATTTACCCACGGTTATACTTGGGTGGGTACGAGTGGCGGCACGAACCCAATTCTCTCTCTCTCTCTCTCTCTCTCTCTCTCTCTCTCTCTCTCTCTCTCTCTCTCTATATATATATATATATATGTGTGTGTGTGTGTGTGTGTGTGTGTGTGTGTGTGTTTGACTGAGTAAACGAGTGCCATGTCATATTTCAATCGATGCTCTTCCCACGTGTATCTCGTACACAGCTATCAGTGACGTGGCGCATCACTGTTCGTTCACCCTCACGACGTCCTGGCCTAGTGTGTGAGTCACACGCGTGGACGTATGCGTCAGCCGTCAGCCAATGAGGAGCACGTAACCGATCTGATCCCCTCGCCTCCTCTCCTCATCCACCAGTTTCCCGGGTGTTGGGCCCCACCGGGATCCTACCATCTCGACTACCAGCCACGAAAAATAAGCAAAAGAAGTAAATAAATAGGTCTGCAAAACCAGAAGTGAAACCAAACGCAAAGAACCCGATCGGGAGCTCTGCAAGAAGAAGCGTCCGACGACGACTTCGGTTAGGGTAAGCTTTTAGGGTTCCTCGATCACTTCCTTTCTTTTTCTTTTATGTTGCTCCTTTTTCTTATTCTGTACTTTTTTGGGATTCTCGTCATCATGTATAGCGATCTTGAGCCTCGATTGTGATTCTTGATCTCGGGCTGCGAGTAGATCTTGCTTGTCGATTAGGGTTTGTGTTGGTCAGTCGTGTGGTGAATGAATCTTGATGTGGATCTACTACTTCCGGAATCTTTCCTTCCTTTTGACGTCAGTTTGTCGTCGTGGTTTCTGGCAGGAACGAATCGAGGAGGTTCATTTGCCCGGTCCGGAAACTTTGAGATCGGATCCAACGAACTCGTACAGTTTTTTTCGGGCATAGAGTCATGAAGCGAGGTTTGGACTGGAGCATCTATGAGGTATTTAGTCTTGCTAAATCCGCACCATCATTTTATTACTGTCTCCTTGTTTTCTTGTTGATGATTGATGAGATTGGTAGTTTGGGCATCGCTTTTGGTGATGATTCATGAAGGGGATGGATGAAAAATCAACCGCTATTGCTTTATGTCCACAGATGGTTATCCGTTATTGATTGCAGAAATGGTTGTGACAAGCACTGAAAGAATTTTGTGAAAAATCATTATGAATATATGTATTTATAATCATGACATTCAGAAGTTTGGTAGAGTTTTATATTAACAAGCTATTGTAGACTGAAGCAACAGTTTGTTTCAAGATCGATTAAGAACAGTAGAAGGGAAGAGTCTCTAACTGCAGTAACTCCAACTTCTTGCAATCAACTCCAGATACAATATTTGAATATTTAAATACACGTCTCTTGTCCTCTTATGATATTAAAATCTTGTGAAGATACGGATACATATTACACATATGTGTGTGTATTTATGATATTCACAGGTTAGGCATTGGGCTAGATGCACAAGTTATCATAGACTGAAATGCTACAATGTTGTTGCAAGGTCGATCAAGAACACTTGAAGAAACAATTTCTAACTGCAGTCACTCAAATTCTTCACAATCACCTCCAGGGACAATACTTTGAAGTTAGAACCTCACAAACACCGCTCCCTTTCTGACATGCTATTTGTGTTATGTCTGGATCTAGGACTGGCTCTTGTTTATGGGTCAGGGTAATAGGTTTTTTAACCCATCAGCAATTCCTGTTTATCCCCGGTACAGATAAGTACTGGATCCATACTGATAGCATGCTCTGACCGAGGACTCTGACCTCTGACTCATAATCCCTTGTCACCCTGACTAAAGAAAAATTAAACAGTTGGAACCAAACAACCAATGGATTAAATCATATTCATTTGTACCGGCTAAGAAGATGTGAGCATATTCTTTATTGGTATAGCTGATCAGTTTCATTGTTTAATCTCACCAATCCATCTGATTTGTGCTGCAGAGCACCATTCCAAAATGAGGACATTTTGAAAATATTTGATCAAGTTTCTCTAACTCAATTGTTGTCCAGTTGGATCTTGTGAGTGATTAACCCTGAAAGATTTGGATGCTTTCTCACACAAAGTGCCAAAATTAGATTAATGGTTTTCTGCAAGTTAATAAAACACATGTTCTTTGAATATATAACATAATGTGGATTCATGAAAGTTCCCTCTCCTCGCTCATTTTGCTTCTGCTAGAAGAGATTCCCACTCTATTTTCATCCGATAATCCATTACGGAAGATCAACCAAAACTACAAAACACGCTGCTATAGTTTTGATTGTTTCAGAGTGTGTAGGATACCTAACAACTAAATAATTGAGGAAAAATTAAGAATAAATTCCAAAATTTTGTTGACACATGTTATGATCGTAACAAAGTTTCTAGTGGCACCAAACAATGCTTTGTTCAGATAAGATTTCTTCTACACTTTCTAGTGTGGGAACTTGTTGTGCCTTCTAATGCTATTGCAAATTGCAGCAGGAGAGCCTTTTGCTCATTATAAAACTATTCTGCTTCTCTAACTCATGTAAATGGGCAATAATTCTGATATGGGCTTTCTTAGTTTATCCACAACTTCATAAACATTCATGATTGTTCTGAATTTATTTCACTACTTCATGTCTGCACATCCTTTGCTTCTTTATGTCCTATTACTTCTTATTATACATTGCCTTTAAATGTTTTTCTATCTTTAGATGAATCACATTGCAAGTTTTGACATGCTTCCTGTAGTTTCATTTTTTTCAAATATCTATTCCATATTTATTAAATTATTGTCAACTAAGTGGCAAAAGCTAGAGATTTACAGAGGGAAAATATAAACATTGTTGGTTATGGTGGATAGACAGTATTTATGGACATAAGGATGCCTTTTTCTTTTCTTCATGTCATCATCATAGGAAAGCCTTTGATCATTTTGCAGGTTCGGCCAATCAGCTTTATATTCAGTATGATGACCAACTAAGCCTGATTCTGAAACCACTGTTTCAGGGGCTTGGTCATATCTTTGTGGGATCCGTCAGGATGGTTTCTCTAGATTCAGACAAGTTCAAGTTATTCCCAAAAAGAGATCCTCTATCTTAATTGGTCAATGAGGCTGATTTGGACCAATCCTGTTCCTAATCCAAAATTTCCTGTGGCCTATGTAATAATTAATCTCGTTTTTTTGTTACTGTTTAAACTGTGATAGATATTTAAGATGGTTTTGCCTGGAACAATTGTGAATTTTTTGTCAACTTGATATAGCTCAGATGTTTTGCTACTTGGAAAGCACTTGAGGCTAATTCATGCATCAGTAGAATTTTATGAAGTCCATTTTTTCTACTGATTTATGATTGTTCCATGGTGTGCGCCGTTGATATTGTCGTCATAAAATGGACTCAGCTTTTCTATTTTAGTAAATGTAAGGATTGTTGTTTGGATGTAGAGGATTGTTATATGTTCCTCCTTTTGTCCTAGTAATGCCACTTTTCTTCTGTTTTTTCTTCCATACTCCATCTATTGTCTTAAAACCTCCATATTCAATATTTCAAGAAAAAGGCCTAATGCTATGTTTTTTATTTTATGGGTCATCTGCATATCTGCAGGCTAACCTTGGCACCATGGTGAGACTGCTTCTTTGTGACCTAGGTAAATAGGGTTCGAGACACGAAGATGGTTTCTTTGCTTGCAGGTTAAGACTACATACATTAACCCTGAATTAGTAGGGGTCCCATGTGCTCCACCACCTTTTTTTATGCATCCACATATCTGATACTTTAATATTCAGAATGATATGTCTTTGAAATAAATATTTACAACTAGTAGTGCAAAAGATTATTCAAACACAGGTCCAAAGAAACCTTATGAAGAATTCCTTATCAGCATGGGGCCTGCTATAGAACACAATGCTACATCAAGAAGGCACTGTGAAAAAATTCATGAAGTTCTGCAACTAGTTGTCTTACTGATGATATCAATTAACCAAAGAATGTTTCTAAATTTTCTGGAAACTTTTTTTAAGAGAGAAATTACCCAAAATTGTAATCATCCAGCCACAGGGTTTTCTGTGGAGCACAACCCCACATCAAGAAGTCTCCATGAAAAATCTGAGAAATTTCTTTGATTAATCACCTGGGCTTGCTTTGGCTTACATTGATATCAATTATCTAAAGGTTGTTGCCAAGTGGCAATCAAAGTGTGTTGATGCAAGAGAGAAATTAACAAAAAATATTAATGCTAGATTGTTAATTGACCTTAGTAACCATCTTTGAGCTCATTCAATTTAAGTAGGTAACAACAGCCTTTTATAGTTCTTGCGTTGTAATGATATGAAGGAAGATCAATTGATAAGCTTTGCCATTTGCACAAAATCACAAATATGCTGATATCCAGCTGATGCAACACAACTTTATGAACTTTTATTGCAATCTTATTATCTCTACTTCAGCTTAACTTTCTACCTTGAACCGCCTTTTTTCTTTTGTAATCCATAATGTGGCTTTTGTCATGACACAAACTGCCTTTCTTTCAAAGATGCAGACTACATGTCATTGATGTAATTGATTTGGTGGTAGCAGATGCAAGACTACTTAAATATTCCTTTTTCCATTGAAATGCAATCTGAAATAGAAGGACGAAGGTTCTATTTTAGATGTGGATTATCCATTAGCATTCTATGCCATTATCATTTACTTACCTAAATTCCTGTATCTTTTATCTACTTTATCACTGTCTGGAACTGGTCTTTGCTTATGGCCTTCTTTTGGTATAATGTTATATTAAGAACAGGTGAGATATCGTGTCAACTCATTTGTCCTCTGTAGACTTCTGCCTCTGATGTCCATTGACTTTAGTAATCCAAGAGATACTAAGTTTATCATTATCTTTTTGCAGCTTGGAGAAAATGTTTGGGATGACTTTGCTAAGGGTGACGATCATGTAGTGTCTGCTGAAAATCGTGAAGTTCCAGATCTATCAGCGATTCTGTTTGATAACAACAAGAAGTCACGACATGAGCCAGATTTTGAAAAGAGCAACTACGGTAAGGTTTTGCCTAAAACTGTTGTTTGGAGAAAAAGACAAGACATATTCTATTTTATAAATAATGATATATCTGATATGAATGTGAATCCATTGCCTCATGCATCTGAGAATGTATTTTTGGCACCATGATATCCACATTTCCACATTATCACCACATGATGTTGGAATCTCTAATAAATTCATCTAAGATTGCATTACCATATGAAGATAGTGAATGTTCTGCACAAAAGGAATCTATTTTTAGTAGCTGCAAGAGCTGCCATTTCTCACATGATAATGATTCTCCAGCTGCTGATAATCTAAGCCCCGGTGGGCACGATCACAACTCTGTCTTGAAAGATCTCACTTTCCATGAGTGGCCTGATATTGACAATTTTGAGGATGTTGAGAGAATGTTCAGGTAGATAAAAAATTGTTAATGCTTTTTTCTACGGTGCTTTTGAATTTCACAATGGACTTCCTATTAACGCTTTTTTTTCTTTGACTTTCTTGGAGAAATTGTGATTCCACATTTGGACAAAGTCATGTAAGTTGTGTTGGTGGGATATCGTGGTTGGCATCTTCATCTAATACCGTTGATGGTTCTGGAGCTTCTAACCTAGCAGCCTTATCGTCATCATGTCCAGAGCTGGGTTTGCCGAATGATACATTGGAAGAGAGTTATGCAAAGACCATGTGTTTTCCTAAATTTGATCCATCAGCTACTGATGCTACATCAGCTAGTGTTGATTGTCATTCTAACAGTGGTTGCCTGGGGAATGATGCAGAAGTTGAGGGCATATCCGTGTCCAAAGAACAGGTCAGAAACAAACTGTGCTTCAAATAATTTAAGCAATTGATGTCCAGTTTATTCATTCAATTTTGTGGTTGCTTCTAGCTTCGACATTATCTCTTACTATGATAATGTCTAAGTATGTATTTACTGGTAAATGATGGAGGACATAAGCTGCAATTAGTAATTTGCATGAACAATTTCATGTAAATTACTAATATTTCCAAGGTCTGCTGTTAACAAGTTGTCTCAGGATGTTTTTTTTCTGGTAAATGATGGAGGACATATTGACCACTGTTCTGATAATTGTCAAATTGTTCATCTCTAAACCTGATGGATGATACCTTCATTAAATTACCTGGACAGTGTTCAAAAATTGATTTTACCACTTGTCCTTATTGCGCATACAGTGTGTCTGTGTCATAACAATTTCCATTTGCTCTGTTGAACAATTTGGTATATAATCTGTGTCATTGATATATTTCCTTTTGGGGGGTTTTTATTTGAATTTTTACTGCATAGCTGCATACTATGTCGTGTGCTTTGCATCTCCTCCAAGTACATTTGGATGCAAACTTGTTGGGTCATTCAAGTCAATAAAGTGTTACCAACTATGTCATACCATGGCATCAAGGTACTTTCACAAAGGCTTGTGCATGCCAAAGACACCTCAAGGCTCAAACTCCTCTGCCTGAAATGACATCAGCAGGAGTATGTAGGCTTGGAGAGACTGGGAGAGAAACAGTTAGAGTGGCTGCCATGATGTATGTGAGAGAGATGGAGCAAACGTGAGGGTTTGCTCTTTGCTGTGTATGTAATTTGTACATTTTCTTTACTGTCAACTATGTCTGGTTGCTTGATGCTCGAAAATAAGCCTGTGTATTCTTTTGGCCTTGGGCCAATCGATAATTGTTAGCCCAACAAAAAGAAATTACAAAAAATTAGAAATTTTAAATAAATCTGCCCATTCTATAATTGTATTCTCTTTATTTGATTTTGGTAATAAATGATAGTACATGAGGAGGTTGAAATTTTAGATAAATTTTTTTTTGAATATTGTGTTTTTCTACATTGCCTTTCCTGATCTTTTATCTGATAATCATGAACAGATTAAGAGTCAATACTCATCGGAGGATGATGCAATGCAAAGATGCTTAAATCAGATGGTTCCAACCTCAGCTGTTACCACTCATACAGATTCTTTTCAGTACTTTCCAGAGCGAAACCATTTCTTTGGATGCCCTTCTAGTAGTTACTTGAACAATTTCAATTCTCATGCCCAAGTGGATTACAGCTTTCCTGCAGATCGGATCCCACAAACACAATCAACATCATCAAGTGTCAATTTTGAGAATGAGACTCATCATATGACATCATTTGAGCATTCCCCATATCAATCATCAACGCCTCCAGCAATGCCACTAGATCTCAGGATGGAAAAACTACCAGAAAAGCAGTCATATGCTCCAGTACTTATGGAACACTGCCATCACGATGCAGTCAGAAATAAATCTTCAGTTCTGAAGAATAAATCTCTACATGCTACAGCAAGTGAGAGTTCACAAGAACTTGATAGTGCTCCAATAGCTGGGAGAAAATCTACAATAGTACAACAAAACTCTTTAGTGAGATCTGTTTCTTTGGATGACATCTCAGCAGAAGCAATGAGTTTCCAACAGCTTTGGCATGTTATGGATCAGGTATTTAATCACTTAAAAAGTACAACTTGACATAACTTTGTGTTTTTCCATAGTCCTTAAATATAATTAGTATATTAGTTGCATATAACTATACAAACTCCAAAAGAATCAGTAGTTGTTATTTGTGCTTCAACATAAAATTTTAAAATTGGGATGATCCAGCTCTGTTGATGTTAAAATTTGGCATGTTCCTTGACATGGTTAGCTGTTTTTATGTCCTTTAGAGAAGATGGAATACAACCTAATGTGCTATCTTTGGTTTGTAATTACTCTCTAAGCTGTGAATAATATATCTCCTCTTCTTAAGATACATTCTCATCTTCTGCAAGAATAATTGTTCTTTTGACCTTCAGTAAACCATAGCTTCTTCATTTCTATTTCAGTTGGATGATGGAACTAAGTGCTGCATCAGAGATAGTCTATACCGTTTAGCAAGGAGTACCATACCAAGAAATATTCTTGATAGAAGCAATAGTTGCCGTGGAAGTATGGACGAGAGTAAAATTCTGGGTGCAGCAGTATGGACTAGGTATGATTACTTTTCTGATGTTCTATAATAATCCTTTTAAATGCACTAGCACTGTAGATTTTTCGAAGTTTTGAAGTTGTTTTGCTGAAAGATTTTCATGCCTAATTGCTTGCTTTTTGCTCTAATCTGGGAGTTACTATATTATTACTGATGGGACATATGACCTCCAATCATGTATTGAACTTGTCTTATACTTTTTTTTCCCTCTATTCTGGGAATTAGGTATGTAAACTGCAAATTCTTTGCGTGAACATTGTCATAATCCTCACGTGATGGAATCTCAAAATAATTGTTGCTCAATAATTTGACAACAAAATAATTGTTGCATTAGGTTTTTTTTAGTTTCGATTGTTTAGTTGTGTTTCAATAAAATAACACTTGGGAAATAAAAACCTTTTCCAATTTCGAGAGGACAAACCAAACAGATAGATATATGAGCAAGTGTAATCTGTGTTAAATCTATTAATATTTATCTTAGGTGGTTTAATGAATAAAAAGCATATACAGTACTGGTGATACAATATTTCGAAAACTGGGTGTTTCTAGAACTGAATGTACGGAGACGGATAGTTGTTGACACTTTTTGGGTGCATGGACCCCATCTGAATTAATTTTATGTCCAATTTGTTATTCATTAAAAAGTATGTCCCATGCTCAGTGGAGGAAGGTTGGATTCAGGTAAATAAGATTGTTAAGGAGTGTGAATCAAATTAGAGATGCTTTGGTAAAATTAGCGACATATTACAAATGTGTTAGGTTCTGAGAGTAAGAAACGTAGATAATGCGTTCAAACTGCAGATATTTCAAATGACACAGATTAGCCATAATATGTGAGCTGTATACATCTTTTTCCGGCGTTGAGTTGTTGCAGTCGCCTCGAATCTTTATCTGGCATAATCTTTTGAACCAGCATGGTAACTTTGCCTGTTATATTTTTTTGCTTTTGACGACAACAATAGTATATGTTACCAAGAGTAAGATGACCCCTGATTTATTTTGGTGTGGGTGTTGAAGCAGATGTGCAGAAATTAAGGTGGAAACTGCAACAAATCCAATAGACCGATCTGTAGCTCATCTACTATTCCAGAGGCCTCCAGTATCATTCAAATCTCTGATTAAGAGTTAAAAACCTTTTCTATTTTATATCTAACAAAGGCGACAGTCAGTTGGGACAGTTGTAGAAGAATCAGCTTACGGGACCAAGTAGGTTAGTCGTGCAGCCACAGCTTTGCAATGCATGGGGTATCGTATCATCTCGTCTCCAGTGTATAAAATGTGAGTTTTGGTCGCTCAACGTGTGCAGCCGCAGCTTTTGAGTTTTTGAGTGCAGACTTTCTCATACTCATACTGCCTGTTTTACCTTTGTATGGTGATTATGTTTACTTTAAAACTGTGATCCTTAAAAGACAAAAAAAAAATAAAGAAATCAACCGGCTAGTTTGCCAGGAACAACGCTCTGTTCAATGATCATGACATGGGAATTCATCATGCTCCTTTGGCAGGAACAGCGCACCACCACGCGAATCAGTGCCTCGGTATCATTTGATCTGCTCACCCATGAGAATAGTTCACATCTTTGACTGGGGTCCATGTTGCACGACCCACACAAAACTTATTAAATACATACCAGTGACAAACATTCCCTTTGCCTACTGAATTGCTACAACTTACAAATTGTAAATCCAAACAAGAAAAGAGTCACCAATGTGGAGACTGAAAACACACAAGAAAAATAGTATATGTGCTCAATACAGCAAATTTGGCTGGGCACCAATTCAACTATGACTATGCACGTAAGACGATTAGAGCCTGCTGTTTACTGATGTTCATGTGCATGTTTGAGATAGAAAGTTGGATTGAACTCATACCTAAGTAGTTGCAACATGGTTTTACCACTACTTTTCCAAAGCCTACACGGAGTCATCAGGTATTGTGGGTGCAACAAAGATTAATGTACACAGCCATCACAGCTACTACTCTTTTTGGATCTCGCAGCATGAAAAAACACCAATCATAAGTACATATTCGAGAGCAAATACAAAATTGTCAAAATTATTAAAAATATAAGAAAAAAAAGAAAATTATCCTTACCAACCAATAGATTAGGCAGTACGTTGGTAGACAACATTTCTGTTTGAGAGATGGCCCCTCTTCCTTTATAATCTGTCTGGACATCAGTACGATGTGATACTTACGATCAAAATACGAACACCACTATCACGGACATCAGCATTATCAAGGAAGAAAATCAGCAACAATTATGACATCAGCAACATGTCAGCCACTCTCAGCCACTACGACTTCACTCAAATGGAGAGAGCTATAAAAATTGCATGATGTCAGCAAACATCCAAAGTAAACTACCAAAACACAATTTCATAGATGGAATTTTAGAAAAGATATAACAAACAATATAAATAAAGCACACTGCATGATAAACTAAATTAGTACTATTTGACCATACTGTTCCATGCATCAAAGACGGTTCTGAATCATATGATAACAGACAGCTAAGCGGACGAGTTTTTTTTTTTTTTTAAGTTGTTGACCTTGAAAAGAAGTTTAGCAGCTACAACAATTCGCACAGCCACTATCAGGAACATCTTTGGAGATGCAACCTCAAATCAAATGCTCTGGAGACAGGGATCATGAACAGTGTCTTGTGTTTCCTAACAAAAGATATCAAAAGAAACATGACAAGATAAATCTGAGAAAAGAAAGTTCACAAACATAATAAAAAGTAAACATCTTTTAGTACCTTTCAAAGGTGAAACACTATGGTGAAACACTTCGGGAATGTGAAGATGGTTCATGATTTTTTTCATCAGCACTTCCCTTGCGAGGTGTACTATGAGGAGATGAACTCCTTTTAGGACTAGGGCTACGGCGGATAGGCGATCCACTATCAAAGACGATACCAGCATAAAGGCTTAAGATAGCACAAGGACATGAGGATGTGTGACCCATTAGAAGGATGAAGTTCACAATTACCTGCTATAAGAACGACTTCTACTCCTTCGCTCATCATCATACTTGCCTCTACCACTATGCCTGCGGTAATCAGGACTTACACTAGGACTTCGGCTGCTTCGGCTTCGGCGGTAATCCCTTTCCCTGTCATGGTATCTGTCCCGCTCATGTCTCCCCCTGCTTCGACTTCGACTTCGACTTCGACTTCGCCTCTTATATTCTCTATCTCGATACCTGAAGCAATGGAACAATTTTGGCCATATGAATCATTCCAATGTCTGCAACATACAGTCTATAAGATAGCACTTCTGCAAAGCAACTCAATCACTGAGGACCAGAAAATGCATATACGGTTTTTTTAAGGAACATCACTATTTTAGTAATTTGTTACAACCAAGAATACATATATTCCTCTATGTGTTACCAATGGAGGTTGCCAAAATAAAGGTTTGCAACAAATAATCAAAACAAACAAACATGGCAAAGACAATATATTATAATATATAATCTATTGCTGATAATGGTGCTGAAAAGCTACTGCAATTGGATTGGTAGTTTTCTAAAACTGCCGATCTTTTGATTGGTGAAATAAATATCTCATGATACATGGGAAGTATCAAAGACATCCTCTTGAAATATTCTGAATCCCAAAGAACCATATACAACTCTTAGAACATTGCATTCAGAAAGATAAGTATAAACAGGAGCAGTAAGTAAAACAATTCAACATATGCGATACATTTGTAGGCAACATATGCACCTTGGCCTTGGGCTGCGGCTTCTAGACCTATCACTGGTCCTTGGTACTTCTTCCACAATTCTCCCTTTATGACTGAAAAAATAAAAAAAAGAAACTGATAATAAGCTACTAGCAAGTTAATGGCATCAAAACAGATGAAAGAGGTAAGATATGACGAAATTCAAATATGTTCTTAGTATTGGTGATGCATTGCTTGCAATCTTATGTATTCCTAATCTGAATTTTATGGTTTCCCTGATCATTCTATAATACCATCATATATGTGAATTTTCCACTTACCACAGACTCCAGCAATCTGTGAAGCCTGAATCACTATCAAGACACATCAAGACCAAGAATGCACTATTGGTCTAACTTCATCGCAATCAAGATTATAAAAATCATGCATTCAAATGGGCTAATAAGGCAGTGGACACAGGTTCACTCCATGAACCATAAATCACTGTCATGACCCCACAACACAAAAGAACACAGTCGTGGGTTAATATCATCTAGGTCGAGACATAATTGTTAAAATTTAGTATTTCAATTGAACTTTGAGGACAATCCAATAATTCAAAAACTTGAGTGATCTAGACACTGTGGAGGTAGCCTTCCTAATAAACTTTAGAATTAAATTCATAATATTTTAGTTATGAATAGTGTGATAGTCCTGACTACCAAGATATGTAATTTCAAATAATACCGTCTGGTATGGACGATACGTAACGGTTCATCAACTGACCGGTACACGGACCGTCCGGTACCGGATGAAACGAAATATATA